TGATTGAGCTCATTAACCCAGTAAGAAATGCTTAGCTTAGCAGCTAGCTCCAAAACCAAACCAAACTCACTGACCTCAAGTCGGATCTGAGTCATAACAACCCCTTCTTGGGTTTCTGAGGTGTTATCACTATGGATGTAGATTGCCCAATATTCCTTCTGAGGAGTGGCTGGTGGGTTTGAACCACCAGCCATCTGTTTAGCAGCTACCTAGGGATAAGAAAAGGGTGAAAAGTATCTGTGTTTAAGGTCTTCTCAGAAAATGAAACAGAGATATTATTAGTCCATGACCCTCACCATTTTCCAGAATCTATTGCTGGAGTCATTCTGATAAACGTCTTGAAATTCACCATGTTTTCTAGAGATTTTCATGGATGTAGATGGATTTAATGTCAATAATTCAGTTACTTGTCTCTGTCTCTATCTCTCTTTTCTCTAAGCAGAGGGACCTAAAAAAATAACTTGTGATAGATTGAATTGTGTTCCCCCAAAATATATGTCAGCTTGGCTGGGACTGGGACATGATCATCGGTGGTTTGGCAGTTTTGTAATGATGTGATTTGGTAATTATGTAATGATGTAATCATCCCCATGATGTGATTTGCTATGATCAGCCAATCAATTGTAAGGGAATGAGAACGGGATCCAGTGTTCTTAATCAAGTCACAGTTCTGATCTGACGTAAAGAGTACTTTTGTGGGGTGTAGCATGCATCACATTTTATCTTACAAGATGTAAAAGGAGAGAGAAACAAGCAGAGAGGACGGACCTCATTACCACCAAAAAAGAAGAGCCAGGAGTGGAGCTTGTCCTTTGGACCTAGAGACCCTGCACTGAGAACATTCTAGACCCAGGGGAATATTGATCCCAAGACATATGTAGATCTCCCAAGCCTATGCCAGGTCCATAGATGCCGAAAGGAGAAGGAACTGACAAAGAGAGCAAGCCTTCTCCCAGAGCTAGCACCCTGAATTTGGACTTCTAGCTTCCTAAACTGTGAAAGAATACATTTCTATTTGTTAAAGCCATCCATTTTTGGTTTTTCTGTTATAGTAGCACTAGATAGCTAAGACACCACTCAAAAGAGAAAATGTTCTATTCTTAGTTACGTCTTCGAAGAAACAAAAAAGGATAAATGTCCAGAGAAAAGTAGAAAGATGAGGAAATACTGATTCTTTGAGCAAGAATTGCTATGCTTTCAGAGTTAAGTTTTCCTGCTATTGGAGGAAGCAGAGAAAGAATTGTTGGTCTGTGGATTATGGAAATAATCAGTAAGTAACCAGTTGTTGTGGAGTCAGCTGCAACTCATGGTAACCTTAAGTGTGTCACAGTAGAAATATGTTCCACAGGGTTTTCAATGGCTGATTTTCCAGAAGTAGAGGTGATTTTCACCTCAGGACTTTCTTCTGAGATGCCTCTTATTGTTGTTATGTGCCATTTAGTCAGCCCTGACTCACAGCGATCCCTCCTTGGGTTTCCGGGGCAGTATCACTACAGAAGTAGATTGCCCAAACTTCCTTTTGAGGAGTGGCTGGTGGGTTTGAACCGCCAGCTTTCTGGTTAGCAGTCAACTGCCTTAGGCACTATGCCACCAGAGCTCCTGAGGTGTGTTTAGGTGGACTTAAACCTCCAACTTTTTGGTTAGCAGCTGAGTGAGTATGTTAACCATTTGTATCACTTTGGGACTCCTATGGGAGCTCTGGTAGCATAGTGGCTAAGGCACTTGACTGCTAACCAGAAGGCTGGCAGTTCAAACCAACCAGCCACTCCTCGGAAGGAGTCCAACTCAATGGCACATAACAACAACAGCAGGGACTCCTATGGGGCTAACAGTAGCCCAATTTTGTTGCGGAAAAAGCTTTTTAAAGGGCCCTACTCAGCATGGTTTGGCTCAATACTTCTGATGTCATTCTTGTTGTTGTTATTGATATTATTACTATTATTTTGGTTCCAGATGAAAAAGAAATTTTCTTAAGAAACGCCAATGGCCAGTTCTAACCCATGCTCAAAATTGCCTTGGGCCTAAATTTAGCTTATTTTGCACAAGAACAAAACTTGCCAACAGATACTTGTGAATATTATAAAAAGCTTTACCTAATGGGATATAGAACATTGGACACAGAATTTGAGGCTGAAAATTTTCCATTTATGAGGCCAAATTGTGTGTTCCTTATCGTGACAGTGTCTAATTCAGGTTGATATTTGACTTTCAGGAAATGTCTTCTTAATCTTTTGTCCTTATTAGGTTATTAACTGTAACAGAGAACTTAAAAAAGTCTTGGAAGTTATTTGATCCTGGCATAAGACCAATTTCTTTAACAATAACAGAGCTAATATAATAAAAGTCATCAGGTTTGGGATATTTTATGAAAACGTTTAATTCAACTGTTTCTTTGGAATGTAGTAGTCATAGTTTGGAATTTAAGTTACAGTTCAGTTCTATGTGGTTTTTATGCTACTCAGTGTCTGAGAATACAAATGTCATTTAAAGTTAAGGCTTTGCTGTTCATTGTGAAACAACAATTTACAAGTGTCATATTGTCATAGAAAATAAAAATTTCTGTAAAAAAAATTTGCACAAAATCTTTTGATGGTACAAAACATGAAGCAATAATATACCAGTAAAATGAAAACATCTTACTACAGAAAGTTTTTATAGATTTCAATAAAGAAAAAAATATGTTATTTTACACCTTTAAAAATTACAAAACAATCTAAAACAATATAAACTGAACATTTTGTAACACTGCCTTTACAAATTAATAACTTTATAAACATATAATTTTTAAATATATTTATCAGTGCAAGATATTTTAAAATTTAAAGTTGCAGTATCATTTTTCCTTGGTTGAGGAATATTAAGTCTGTTGCCTTGGGTATGTGTGTGGGGGGAATCAAGTCTTGTTTAGTGTTTTCTTCTTTTTCTGTGATTAGGACAACTGAATGAATGCTTCTGGCAACGAAAAACAACTCTTCTTTCATGGTAATCAATACTTTCTCGGAAACAAAAGACATTCTCAATCCAGTTATACCAAGATGAATGACTGTCCTGACTATGATGCAAATGTGACTTCTACAAGTACATCTGAGCAAGATATGTAGCAATGCTACCGGAGGACAATCTAAAAATTATCATGTACCACACGGTATGACACAAATACACCAAAGTCAACCAAAGCTTCTTCGGGTTAACCCACACGCTTGATAAGATACTCACTTTACTCTGCTGTTAGACTTAGGTCTTGCCAGCCCCAGGGCTGGCTGCTTCTTAGGAGCCACTGGAAATATTTCTAGAAGCATTCATTCAAGTTTCTGGTTTTTTTTTTTTTTTTTGCCAGAGTTGCTGTTGAATGGATTATTTTAAACATTTGTTTTGACTCTGCTCATTTTCCCCTTCTCTTACCTTAAAATAGTTCACCTTCAGGCACTAGGATTTATAGTTTCTTTCTTAAATGAACTCTTCTTCCTTCCACTTCCCTTGTTTGACTCAATACCGAAATAAATCAGGGGCCATTTTTATGTATTTGGATGTAAAATCTCCTGTGTTTTGTTGCTGTTGTTATTGTATATTGAGAAGATTTAATTCAGCCCTTCCTTCAGATCTCACTTGAAAGCCAATTGATAGTATTCCTTCCCTCAATTTACCATTTTTCTATTCCACTCAAACATTTTTTTATCAAATGAGCATTTTGATCAGGATAGACAGACAACTGGCTTCAGGAAAAAAGATACTGTCACTTTAACCAGTTAACAAGAAAACCAAAGTTAAACTTTGGAGGGCAAAGTTAGGAATTTCCCTTATTTATTTATTTTTAAACATAAAATCTAGTAAAAGTGTTTGCCATTCCCAGCAAGGTTAAAGCTGTGGGTTTCTTTTCTGGAAAATGGCAAATGCTTAAATTCTAAGAGAGAAAAAAAGACAAGAGAGATAGGGGAGAGAGAGAGAGAGAGAGAGAGTGTTTACATTTGAAAATACATTCCATATGAAAGAACAATAAGACAGAATATTGCAGCTTTATACAAAGGGTCAAGAGACATGAAATTGAACTACAGAAAAAAGCAGAACAATTAAGCCACGTTGCCAAGTCTTCTGAGCCCTTGCCTTCCCGGGGGCTGACGTCTCACACTAAAATATACTTTCTTCTTAGTCAGTGGGCCACCAGGGTTTGATTAAAAAGTAGGGCTTTCACCAGTGAGAAACAGAGTGGGTCGTTAATGTAACACAATGAGAACCAGTACAAACAAAAAGGCACTTGAGAGGACATAGACTAGCCAGTGCCAGGGATTTTTTGTTGCGGTTGTCAGCAGTACACCCAGGTGCCAGCAGTGTTTGGTGATGGCACAGTTTTCTGCATGGAGTTCACAAGCACAAGGTTTAGTACAACACTGGAAAACATCAAGAAAATTTGACGGTATTGCTTTGTAAACAGAGCTGACACACTATACCGGTACTGAGGCTACAGTACTATTAAAAGAAAACATCCTAATCCTTCTCTGCCTATGCACAATGCGGGCAATTATACACAAGTACAGCTGCAGAAGTCCACAGAAATGCAGTTATTCTAATATATTTTGGGCACTGGGCTAAAGGTAGCATGTCCATCAAAAGGGCCCCACTGAATACACTTGGTGCCAGCATCTTGGATTTTGCACAGTTTCCAAAAAGAATCCATAAAAGGAAAAAGAAAGAGAGAGAAGGGGAAAGGGGAGTTGAAAAATGAATCATTAAGTCAATCATACTTGGTCTCAACACCAGCATCTGATTATTCTATTGAAACCAACAGAAAAAAAGCTGACTATACATGATTCCGATTGTTAACACAGCTCACTTGTTCATGTCTGTCGGCTATACTCATTGAAGCTCCTGAGAAAAGCCTGGCTCAGCGTCCTCAACGCACTTCCCAGCTTGTACAGTAAGAGAAGATCCACAGTTCCCCAGCATGATCAAGTTCAGTCTTTCCACTTCAATTCTCCCACTCGTCTTTTCATCTCTACCTGCCTTCATGCCTCCGAGTAAGTACTCTGTGTATTCAGTTTGTCTTTTTTCAACTTCACACCATCTACAAGTTCAAAGTTATAGTTCTCCAGGGCAGACAAGTTTCTTTCAGACATGCCGTTGTGCCAACAGGCACAGTACAGCACAACCCCACAGACAGCCCCCAGGAGAACCCCCAGGGCGCTCATGGCAATGATTGTGATGAGGATGGGGTCCAAGGTCTTCAACACGTTGCCTGGCTTTCTTGAGATGTTCTCGTCACCTTCTCCTGTGCCCCTGTATCCTGGCGTGCTCCCTAAGGAGGGAAATAAAATTGGCTCCATAAGCACTGCCAACATGCCAGATGAAAACAAACAAACAAACAAAAAACAGGACTAATGACTTCTGCCTGTCCTCTCCCAAGAGATTGTGGTGGATTACTTGGCTACCCATCGCCTGGAGCCACTAAGGTTTATGTTTGACTCACTGTTGGGAATCGATGTGTGGGAAGTGAGAGCGCTGGGAAGTTGATGCTGTGATTCTGCATATAGTTTAGCACGTGAAAAATACCAATTCTTGCTCAACAGTGAGGGCTATCTTCTAATCACGTTCAGATTTCCTGCAGCCCTCCATCTGTGCTAGATTGTAATGTGTTTATAGTCCTGGGCCAGATATGTGGTCATTAAACTTTGCAAGATGCTTAGTCACACGTGTGTCTAGGGGAGGCATGTAAACATTCTTGTGCATTTGTCTGATTCCAAAACCAGACACATGGAGACCTTCAGTGCTGCGCTTGTATTTGGTGCAGTTTCCAGGGTCTGGGCACTGTTTTACATATGTGCTTGTTCTCCCACGTGTACAATCTTCAAATCAAACAACTGTTTCCCCCCAAGCCTACACTGGTTTCACTCAAAGAGAAGAGCTCTCTCAGAGCATGTGAATGCTTGCAGCTGACATTTAAATGGATGATGGCTCAAATCTGGAAACCATGTCTGGGCTGTGCAGAATAGAGCACATTTAATAATCAGTATCTTCACAGCCTTAGTGGTTTCACTGGAGACAGTTATACTGTTCTGAAGTTTGGTCATTGGGGAAATGTTTTCTTTAGAGTGGAATATGAGAAATTATTAACATGGGAGCTTTGAGTCTAATCACCTGGTACTAGAAATGGGACTAAAACTTTATGTGCAACATGCATGGTGCTTACTTAATGGTATTTAGATCAACAAAGATTCCCATCAAAGAAAACTACAAATATGAGATTCAAGTCTCTAAACAAGGGAAAACAAGTCATGGGGGCACATTAATATTCTTTCCTTTGACAAAGCATTGTTTCAAAACAACCTCTAATAAAATTTACCTGTCAGTGTGGACTTTGTAGCTAAGCTAAATAAGCCCTGTATTAACATTACTGATAGCATCAAGCCCTACGTATTTGAGTCTATCAAGTTTGTATCTGGCAATAGGAGGATTACATCTCAAATAGCAACAAATGCTGATACACCATGATAGCCATGGTGTGGCATGACCTGCCGCAGCTGTCCAATACCCAGAACTGTTAGCTGGGAGGGGTGGGCACCTCTGGGGATAATATTAGGTAATGCCTAATTTTGAAGCAACATCTTATATATTATCATAAAGTAGTGTTCAGTGAAAACACTTGTTTTAGAATTTATCTAAACATGATGCTACTATCAACTTAATTAACTAGTATGTAGGCAAACCACCTCTCTGAGGTTCATTCTTATCACTTGTAAAATGGGGACAGATAAACCTTACAGGACTGCTGTGACAATTATTGAAAATGCTTGGGATATAGTAGTCCGTCAATCAATCCTTACTATTGTCATTATCATCATTATGAAACCAGGGTCCCAGTACATGAGGATGGAAAATGATCAATCAAGCAGAACAGATGCCATAGAAATTGGGCTCCAGTCCCTTACAGATCATCTCTAGACATCAATCAGACACAAGAATTGGGGTTGGTTGTGTATTACAGTATGAACATCATCATAAATCAGTGGGTGAGTCACATTGTCTTCAGTAGTTCTCAATTCCCATAGTTGTCAAATGAGAATGTCTCACTTGATTATCCTCTAAGCCCCCCTCTAGGCTCAAGTAGGGAAGGATCAGGGCCAGGACACTTCTCCCAGGGATCAACTGCTTTTACAAGCCAAACCTGTCAGAGACTCTCAAAAGTCTTAAGGGCAACTTTGGAGAAAGAGAAAGCATTCTGTGCAACAATCCAACCTGTGGCCCAACTCGACATGGGCATGGATGTTCATTTTATTTGAACTGAATTAACGTACCAATGTATTAAAGTTTCAGAAAGCATCTTCATAAACATAGTAGAAGCTATAGTGATTTTTTTTTAATTGGTCATCAAGACAAATGTACCTGCTTCATCAATTTTATTTTCTGGGTGCTTTTTATCCAGGTCTGCTGGTTCTACAAGTCAAACAAAATTGAAAGATTATACACAAACTACATGAAGTTACACACACACACACACACATACATACTGCATACATAATACACACCATATACACATACACATACACACACCACACACTACGCACACATCACACACACACATACACATACCACACACACACCATTCACATACACATATACACATGACTGCTGGGCTTCTGTTTAAGTTTTCCCTATAATCAGACCATGTTGTTGTTGTTGTTATTTGCCGTCGAGTCAGCCCCGACTCATAGCGACCCCTCCTTGGGTTTCCAAGGCAGTATCACTATGGAAGTAGGATCGCCCAACCTTCCTTCCGAGGAGTGGCTGGTGGGTTTGAACTGCCAGCCTTTTGGTTAGCAGTCAAGTGCCTTAGGCACTATGCTACCAGAGCTCCTACCAAATAGCCATAGAGCAATCCAAACCAAAAACCAACCCTCTGCCATTGAGACAATTCTGACTCATGGTGACCCTAGAGGACGGAGCAGAACTGTCACACAGTTTCCAAGGCTATACATCTTTACATAGGCAGACTGCATCACCTTTCTCCTGTGGAGTGGCTGGTGGGTTTGAACCACCGACTTTTTTGGTTAGCAGGCAAATGATTTAACCACTGTACCACCAAAGTTCCTTTCATAGAGCAATAGGGAGGCAATATTAAATGACTCTGAAATTGGTGATTTGAAGCATAAAAACTTCCTTTAAAGTGTCAGATCTCAATCCAAATAGCTTTGAGTATCTTTTAGGAGAAGAGGAGGGTGAAGAGACTTGGATTTTGGCATCTGGAATGTGGTGAAAATAGGGAATAGAAGTGAAGTTGTACATATGGCTAGCTTCCTGCACTTGGTAGACAACTGCTTCCTAAGTTTGATGTGTGTTACTTTGGCTTCACATATGGTATACCAGCTCATTGAGGTAAGAGATTGAGTCCTGTGTTTACAAAAATATAAAAAGGCTATGGAAGGAGTAGAGTCCAGTATCCTTACGTTACTGAGCTACTTGTTGTTGTTGTTGTTATTTGCCATCGAGTCAGACCTGACTCATAGTGATACCTCCTTGGGTTTCTGAGGCAGTATCACTACAGAAATAGATTGCCCAACTTTTCTTCTGAGGAGCGGCTGGTGGGTTTGAACGACCAGACTTCTGGTTAGCAGTCAAGTGCCTTAGGCACTGCACTACTAGGGTAAGTTTTTTTTTAGTACTTTGTTCACTACTATATGCCCAGCATTTAGAAGTGTTAGCACATAATAGGTGCTTCAATAAATATTTGCTGTATGACTGAATGGAGGATAAATAGATAGTAATAGATAGTAACTATTCCAGAATGTATTTGATGAATTGTTGAATACAATTACTTTAAGTATCTTTTTATTAGTACAACAACATAAATACCATGTTTTAACAAGCTCCAAGAACAATGGCTAGCAGCAATTACCGCTAAAGAGATTAGTCACATGAAATAAAAATGCTCATAGAACTATCTTAGCCATTCATTCATTCTCTGTAGCACCTGGCATGCTGCTTTGCATATATAGTATGTGGTCAGTTAAAACTTGTTGAACTAAATTGAGTTTTATTTCTTTGTTTTTGTTTGTGGAGTTTGATCTTACATTCCAAAACCATCACCACATTACACTTACCTTGGAATAGGAATGCAATGGGATTACATACATAGTGCAACTATATGAAATATATATTTTCAAGTCTTGTAGGCTTGGATAGGAGCTCTGGTGGTGAAGTGCCTAAGGCACTTGACTACCAACCATAAGGCTGGTGGTTCAAACTATTAGCCAGTCCTTGGAAGGAAGGTTGGGCAATCTACTTCCATAGTGATACTGCCTTGGGAACCCAAGTAGGGGTCATATGAGTTGGATCTGACTCAAAAGCAATGAGTTTGGTTTTTAGTTTGGTGGTAGGCTTGGATGTGAGTAATTTGTCAACAGCTGCAAATGAAAAATTAAGCCTTATGTATTTATTTATTGGTGAAAATTTTCTAAGTAGTGTGTCATTAAGCAGATTTCCTTATATGGTACAAAGACCACCCACTACCCATTGCCATCGAGTTGATTCCAACCCATAGTGACACTTTAGGACAGAATAGAACTGCCCTATAGGGTTTCCAAGGCTGTAAATCTTTATGGAAACAGACTGCTTCATCTTCTCCCATGGAGCAGTTGGTGGGTTCAAACTACCAAACTTTTTGGTTAGCAGCCAAATGCCTTAAAAGAAGCAGGGTTTTATTCACTGAATTTTTTTCCCCAATTTCATCAACTGATCCCAAGGACTGCATATGATCAATATATTGTATCATAAAAGCTTTTTGTAAGTTGGTGAAATGACCAAAAACCCATTATAACCAACAGGCTTCTTTAGTCTTAAATTTGCCCAGTAGGCTTATTCCTTTTTATTATAATAAGTATCCTATTATATATTGATATATAACAAAAGTTTAAATGTAGCAAATGGAGCTTAAGACTAATTACTGTGCTATTACATTGCCATTAGTAGTGCTATTTATAATTATATACCAAGAACTAGGGAAAATGAATTGTTTTTTTTTATGTCAGATTTTCATTCATATAGCATCAGACCAATAGGAACTGAAAATACTAGGCAAAGTCTCTGAATTCCATTTACTCTTTTGGGTCATTTAAACTATTTTTAGAGTCAGCAATATCTACTTACTTGTAATAAAGCAGGAATTATGGATGATTCACTAGCAATGTAGCCTTCATTAAATTCACTGCAATCAGTTTTCAAAGGCCTGCTGTTTCACTTATACATTCAGGTATTTGGAATTAACCCAGATGTTTCAGCTTACCAGTTTTCATCAAAATTTCTGGTGCGTCATATGTAGCTAAATACATTGTGAGTCTCTCTTCTTTGCTATGATCTTTGAACTCCACTTTATTTACATAGTTTTGTAGGTACCCACCAGACAATCTAATTAACTGGTTAGGTTAGGCAATGGGGTAGCTAAGGATAAATTGACCTGATTTTATTCCCTGTTGCATTGGTATATGCATTTCATGTCGTATGCCTATAGCCAACATAGAAATTCTATGTCTAAACGAGCAAGACAAAGACCATTACACAGAAAGACTCTTGCCCTGGGCAATTGCTTCATTGGTTTCAACACCAACTCATACTTACTTGCACAGTCCTCTTGTGAAATGTGGTTATTAATGCTAATATCATCGACTGCAATCCCGCCAAGGTTTCCTTTTCCGATTTCACCCTCAAAAATCACCTAACAAAATGAAATCGTTTCCACAGTGTTTAAACGTAAGTCCCAAATAGCAGTGTTTACAAATGCTTGCTCAGCTCCAGCTATGGCATATAAATTAAATTCATGAGATTTCACATAAGCACACACTTTGCTCATCAATCAATATTTGCTGCCTGGTGATGGCATAAAACTTCTCGTCCTTGCTTTTTATTATACAAAATTTAAAGCTGGAAAAGGCAGCAAATAAAAGGCATGATCCATTGTGACAGCCCAGAAATAGATTGTAAAGTTGCGTTTTCCCTTCCTTCTCAGTAAATTGGTTCTTTTCCTGTAATCCAGGAGACTGAAATATGCTACCGAGATGACTGTCACTGCAACGGTATCTCAGGTTCAGGAAACAACTCAAATAATTTTTGAAATAATTCCATCACATTTGCATTGTTGTCGTTGTTACCTGCACTGAGTTAGTCTCTGACTCATGGAGACCCCATATGTTACAGAGTAGAACTGCTCCATAGGATTTTGTTGGCTGAAATCTTTATAGAAGCAGATCCATAGGCCTTTTCTTACATGGAGTCTCTGGGTGGCTTTGCTCCACCAACCTTTAGGTTACCAGCATATCACAAACTGCTTGTACTACCCAGGTTCCATCACATTTATATAACTTGCAAAATACTCCCTTAGTGAAGCAACTTGCCCTCCCCAACCTAGGTAAGGGGTCATACCTGATAAAGCTTCAGAGACTTGTGAAGCAAAACACGCCCTTCCTTCCAGTGGTCTCCTTGGTGCCCAATGGCCATCCAGACCAACTGGTCATACTCATCTGGCTTCTGGTAGCGTAGCTTGACCCTCAGCGTGCCAACGTGGGAACCAGACATGTGGTACCAGAAGGTCAGGCAGTGGGCTGAGTTCTGGGAATAAACCACAGGGCTTACAAGACGAGCCACTTTGCCCTTCTGGTTCTCATCAGCTTGGGAATAGATGAAGTTGCCATCTCCTGCTGTGACAAAAAGACTGTGTTAGGAAGAATGGCCACATGTGCAACTCCTTTGTTGCTTTTCTTTCAAGTTCCACTTATCAAAACTTCTCTCTCAAGCTTAGCACCCAGAACCCAAACCCACAGTGGAGAGGGGAGCAGAGTTGTTTGGGAACCCCTTTGGCACCTGAAACTTCACTGTAAGCCTCTCTGGATGGACATTTGATTAGGTAAAACCCGTAAGGTAAAACAACATGAATTTGGATACTACCTATAAGTCGCTATGAGTTGGAATAGTCAAGGGAGTGGGTTTGGTTTTTTTTTGGTTTTATTTAGAATGCACTGTCATGGGAACATGGGCTATGACTCAAGTCTGCCTGAACATCATTGCAAGCAAATGAAAGGACAGAACTGACTGAAAATGACTCCTCTAAGAGGAAGATCTACTTCCATGCCACTTTAAGAAGCAGATTCATGGGCCTTTCCATGCCACCCATTTGAACACAAACATTAAATGGAGTAATTGAGATGTTTTCTTATTGATCATCAGAGCAGCTGACCCTCTGGCTGATGGTACTTCGGTCACTATATCTGTTTGGTAATAAAACCGCAGTTTTGTCAAATAATCTAGCAATCTTTTTTTTTTTTTTTTTGTCTCCATAAAGGCAAATGATTTTTCCCACCTAGGTTGTTTAATGGCCTATAAATTCTTAAACACACCTGAGAACTTGATTCTCAACTGTGAGCCCTGCTCCTATTTGATGTGGGTTTCTGGTTCAAGGAGAGGCAAGGTCACATTTTTGAGGCTCATCAGAATGTGCCATTTTGACAATATAGACACTTGCCGGGCTGCTAGAACTTACTTGGCTTTGCTTTTAATTACCCCCAATGGGAATGTTTCCTCCTGCCACCACCTGGTCTAAACACACAACTCATGTTTCACTGTTTGTGCTGCAAATAGAAATCATCTCCTTTAACACCCCACCTGATGTAAGTGTGAATCTGAGGCTCTGGCCTCAATGGGCAGCCGATGTTTTGTTTGCTGCCCAAGAGGCTTGTGTATTTGTGAGATACGTTTTCAGTGCACATATGTGCATGTCCTTGTATCTGCCTGCTTATGTCACCAGGGTCCATGTGGAAGTGGGATGTGTTAGCGGGCTGCTTTCTTAACTGGCTGCATACGTGAGATTCTTAATTAACATAACACTTTTAATTAAAAAATGAGTGGTATAATTAAAAAAAAAAAGTTAAAATTAGTCCCAGCCCTTGCAGTACATTCAATGCTGACTTTGTGAAGTATTTGCCTATGATTGAGCAGACTGAGTCACTTTTGGGGTTTGTTTCACCCCAAAATTACCAAGTATAGGCCACTTGTTTGTGTGACAGTACCATTTCATTGAGATGAGTAGGGTGTCAGTCCACCAAGACAGATAGGTTAAAAAAAAAAAAAAATGTACCTGGCTTGCCTCTGTCCTCCCTATTCTTAAGGGAAAAGACTGAAGTTGGACATGCCGCAGAGTGGAAACACATTTGTCGAGTCCTCTGGGTTTGTTTAGGCTCATTGGAGAATAGGTTGGTAAAGAGAATGAAAAGTGGACATGGAAAAGGGAAGACGGTTGCCTGAGAAGTGTTTCATGGCCTCCACCTTGCTGCCATTGTGGGCTTTTAAAACTTTGCTTATGCCACTCCTCTCCTTAGAGTGCTTCAGTGGGTCCTCATCACTCTCAGCCAACCATCCTCCTTCACATGGCACCCAAGGCCATGTACCTCCTGTAACACATCTAGATGCTTCCCATGGGGATTCTGCCCAATCAAACCACTTGTAAACCTCTAAAGCACAGTACCCTGCACTCTGTCTTTCATAGCTAGTTACCTCAGCTTATTCAAGCCCCAGTTTAGATTGTCTTAATGCAGGACTACTTTTTCTGTTTCTTTGAGCATTCCTGTCATCGACTGAATTGTGGCTCCCCCAAAGATACGGTGAAGTCCTTACCCTGGTTCTGTGAATGTGACCTTGTTTGAAAATAGGATCTTTGAAGATGTTATCAGCTAACATGAGGTCATAGCAGAGTAGGATGAGTTTAAATCCCATCTGAGTGGGATCTTTATAAAAGAGGAGAAGAGACACAGAAGAAAGAAGGCCAAGTGAACACTGAGGCAGAAACTGGAGTGATGCATCTACATACAAGTTGAGGAATGCCAAAGATTGCCAGAAACAACCAGAACCTAGGAAGAAGCAAGGAAGGATTTTTCTTGAGAACCTTCAAAGAGAGCATGGCCCTACTGACACCTTGATTTCAGACTTCCAGCCTCCAAAACTGTGAGAAGATACATTTCCGCTGTTGTAGCCCTTCTGGTTTGTGGTGGTCTGTTAGGGTAGCCCTAAGAAACCTCTCCTATCTTATCTTTTACCATCATGCTCATCTCTGCATTGGACACCCTCCTCACTGCTTTGTAGTAGTTTCCCATCCACAACCAGACTGTGAGCTCCTCAAGGGTAGGGACAACCTCCTTCATACCTACATCTCCAATGCCCAAGACAGCAGCCACAGATTGGGTCTATTCAAACAACATGTGTTCAATGAACAAATGAAAGATGCTGGATTTCAGGAATCTTCTGTAAGGAGGTACACAACTTCATTCTTAAGGGTCAAATGCAGAAGCCCAACAGGATGCATTTAAATGAATTCAAATTGAATAGCAAAATATTTTACTTATATATTGTTAATGAATTAAAAAAAAAAAAGACAAAACCCTCGATATCCAATTGGCAAAGGTGTTTCAAATATAAACAAGTGATATATAACATGTAATGTTATTGTGTGTGTATGTGTGTGTGCATGTGTGCACAAGCATGTGTGCTGTGTATGGATTTTTTTTCATCTAGATTTATTTAACATTAACAAGTTCCTGGCTTTGTGGTATTCGGCTCACACCCATCACACTAAGCAGGCGTCTGATTGTTTTTTGCCAGGGTTGCAGAAGGCTACTTCTAGTAAGGAAAGGCCTGGCATGATAGCCAAGTAAAAACTGGGTGGTAAGTTTTTCTTTTCAGCTGTTAATTTAAGACAAGCCCTACTTTTCTGATACCCCAACACATAAAGCACTGATATTTTTCCTTTCAGGGGTTTTATCACAGTTCTGGGTCAGGAACTCTGTCTTCATTTTCTCAATTAGCACTTTACTTCTGTAAGCCTTTTAGCTTTTGTCTCTGGCTAACATAGCTTTTAACCTCCTTTGAATGTCAGATCCTACTGAGCCATTTTGCTTCACTTTGCATCAATTTTTCCACCATTACTGCCTTCATTTCAACTAATTGCATTTAGTTAATTTGATGCCATTTATATGTACAGTGCCATTTACAGTCAAAGTATTTTAAGTTTTCTAAAACTGCTTGTCTTAAGATTCAATTGAAAGTGTCTCAGAATTGAAGGAGTCCAATTTTATCCAATTTCCTTGTCATTCTCATTAGGCAAGGAGGTAGCCGTGGTGGAAGGAGGCCTATTCAACTATTTAATGGTTATATTCACAAGGAAAAAAAGTGAGCAACCAAATGAGAAAGGCATGAAGTATCCTCTGCCCGTCCATTGACCCACTGACCCCGTCTTCCCAAATGCCAGCTTGGGGAGAACTTTGCTTAATGAGATTTCTTAGCATCCACCAATGTTCCTCTGGGGTATCTTTGGGAAGCTGCTCTTTTGAGTAAGCTGTGCTCTGAAAATATCACTGAGTAGGTTAGCAGTTTGTGGTTTAGATGTTTGTTTGTCTGTTGTGTATGTGTGTGTGCATTTTGTAGGACACTGCTAGTTGTTTATACCTTATCTCAAGTTGGGGGACAAAATGACTAGGAGGAAAATAGCTTTGGGGTGGAGAAAACAGTTCCCTGGCATGGTTGTCAACACTCTCTGTCTCCCAACCCATCTATGCCCAGCTTTAGAACATAGGGTTAAATCTTAGAAGGAAAACCAAACCAGGCCCACTGCCATCAAGTCGATTCTGACTCATACCAACACCCATTGGTTTTCGAGGCAGTAAACCTTTACGGAAGTAGATTGCCCTATCTTCCTTCCACAGAGTGGATGGTGGGTTTGAACTGCCAACCTTCTGGTTAGCAGTCAAATATCTTAGGCACTGCACCACCAGAGCTCCTTAAAGCTTACTTAGAAGGAAAGTGAGGTTACAAAAAAAAAAAAAAAAAGTAAGGCAAGAGGTAGGACGAGTTGTGAATTGGGCTGCGCTGAGGTTTCCACCTGCTTGGAGGAAATTGGCTAGATTAAAAATTTTCCCCTAAAGAATAAGAATCCCACTCTACCTTTATTCTACCTCCACTTAAAGGGTCAAGAGAGAGTAAGCATTAGGCTTACTTACTGCTTACTTAGCTGACAAAATAAATGAGATGACAATCTATGTTTGGAGTTGTTTCAAAATAATTCAGAGATGGGGAATGTGGGATAATATGGAGAAAATAAGCCTTCCTGTGATTTGATAATTGTTCAAGCTGGGTTACAGGCACATAGAGTTTAGTATACTAGTTTACTTTTGAATATGTTGGAAACTTTTGAATATGTTGGAAATTTTCCATGATAAAAAGTACAAAACAAATGTTGATTCACACATTCTAATCCAGTTTGCTCTTTTTCAGAGAGGGAAATCAGTGGCCAAATTAAATCAACACTCTCTACTGCTTGCCCTTAGTATCTCTCTCTACTCAAGAGAGGGTTTTTTTTGTTGTTGTTGTTAGTTGCTGTAGAGTAGATTGATTCATGGTGACCCCATGTGCAGAGCAGAACTGCTCCATAGGGTTTATGAGGCTGTCATCTTTCAGAAGTAGATCACTACCAGGCCTGTTTTCTAAGGTGCCTCTGGGTGGGTTTGAACCACCACACTTTCAGCTTAACCATTTGGGCCATCTTAAAAACAAAACAAAACAAAACAAAACAAAACCTCACTGCCATTGAGTTGGATCTGACTCATAGCAACCCTTCCTTGGGTTTCCAAGGTGGTATCACTACAGAATAGATTGACTAATCTTCTTTCCCAGGAGTGACTGGTGGGTTTGAACTGCCAGCCTTCTGGTTAGCAGTCAAATGCCTTACGCACTAGGGACTTGGTAACTCCAGAAAATAAAAATAAAATTCTGTGGAATTTTCCTAACTCCCTGAATTCACAGGCACCAATAAACTCTCCCTAGGAAAACGTTTTCTGATTTAATGAGAAGGAAAGAAAGTAGGGTCCACAGTGAGCTCCCCATTACCTGTGTGATCCTGAATTGGGCCAGTTTTGCTGGTCAATACACTCCATTTGAGTTGCACGTGATTGTCATGTTCCCAGTGACAGAAGGTCTTGTGAGAGCCCCAGCCAAATTCACAGTTGAGGCCATATGTTGGAAACTCTTCAGTAGGTGGAAGGGAAAAAGGAGACAAATTGAATCATTCAGGGTTAGAAAGGCCTTTAATTATTTCATAGAGATCACCATTCATACAACTTAACTTCTGTTTTAAAAAATTCTGGGACAGCCACAAAATTCAGGATTGCCAGGAAACTTAAAAGATGTGTGGAGATGTCAAGATGTTAGCAAAATTACATTAGACTTTTTTTTCCCCCCTGTTAAATCCAGCTTTAAAAAGATTACAGACTGCCCATCAAATCGGTTTTTCATAAAATTTCCAGGAAGGTTACTTTCAAGAGCATACTTAATATCAGAGATACTTTATTCTTGAGGATGAATCAGACAAATTGCTATCTACCAAAGAAACAAATCTTAGGATTGAGCTCTCAACCTCTAAAGTCTAGAAATGTGACTTGACTTTGTGTCTCATTCTTGCCACACCATCTTATGCTTTTGGGTGTCAGGGTAGAAATCTCTGAAACATTCTCTTTAGGATTTGTTTTTTTTCCTTCTGTGCTTCACATCAGGTCAATTATTTTAACGTAAGTATGGTGGCATAGTGCCAAAGCATCTGACCGCTAACCAGAAAGTTGGTGGTTCAAACCCACCAGCCACTCCATGGAAGGAAGATGGGGCAATCCACTTCTGTCAAGATTTACACCTTGGAAACCCGGGGTGGGGAGGGAAGGGGTGTCACTGTGAGTGGAGATGACTGGATGGCAGTGTTTGGTTTTGGTATATGCTTTCCTCACAAATTTTAAAATTTGCATGTAAATTGCTAGCCCTACTTAAAACCTCAATGGAAGGAAGGCCATTAAAGACATAAACTAAAAAACAAACTGCCATCCAGTCAGATCCGACTCACAGCAACCCCTCCTTGGGTTTCTGAGGCAATATCCCTCCTTGGGTTTCTGAGGCAATATCACTATGGAAGTAGATTGCCCAACCTTCCTTCCGAGGAGTGGCTGGTGGGTTTGAACCACCAGTCTTCTGATTAACAGTGAAATGCCTTAGGTACTAGGCCACCAGAGCTATACACATATTTAAATAGCTATCTTTCCCCCTTCTTCCTCAAGTTTCAAATGTGCCCTTTGAAGTCTGAAAAGACAGCATGAATGGATTCCCAGGAATGAGTTTTCTCATGTCTTCTACTAGGTGTTGTTTGACCATAGTGTTTTCTTTAATCAATAGCCTTAGTTGTTACTTAACCACTTTGAAAACAGCTCATCTTTTTAAGGCATGGGAAAATCCAAGTCGTCAACATTTGGCATTCTTTGGGTGAACTTAAGCTATAAAATAACAATAAAAATAATTCTAAAGATAAAATTGTCATGATTCTGGCTGTCCCACACCTCTCTTCCGTCTTCCCATTATAAAATAAATCAGTTGTTGTTGTTGTTGTTATGTGCCGTTGAGTCAGCCCTGACTCATAGTGACCCCTCTTTGGGTTTCCGAGGCAGTATCACTACGGAAGTAGGATTGCCCAACCTTCCTTCCAAGGAGTGGCTGGTGGGTTTGAACCGCCAGCCGTCTGGTTAGCAGGCAAGTGTCTTAGCCACTATGCTAAAATAAATCAGTAGTTTTCTTTAATCAAGGAGTCATTGCTTCTCATTGATCTTAGGCAATCCACAAGATGGCAGTATTGAGACGGAACGAGGAAAGGCACCGAGGGCGTCTAGCCGATTGAACTTAAAAATAAACCTCAAAACAAGCTCCTTGCACAACAAGGGAAGTCTGGCATTATATACCGGATTAAGGTCAGGCTGAGATCCTATCTTGTTTGAGGCTTTTCTTTAACTTTACCCAAGTGTTTAACACAAAGTAGTTTGCTTTCTCTTCTGAACCCCACCTCTACCCCTATTCTCTGGCTTTAACAATGGCGTTTGGAATTTTAATGAAACTGTGTATTAAATGGAGAAGGATGAATTTCTTCTCTTCATGTATAATGTCAAATTCTGGAAAGAACTTACCATAAAAAAATAAAACCAAACTCACTGCCGTGGAGTCGGACTCCACTCATAATAACCCCTCCTTGGGTTTTTGAGGCAGTATCACTAGGAACTAGATTGCCCAATCAAATTGCCAACCTTCCTTCTTAAGAGTGGCTGGTAGGTTTGAACCCCCAGCTTTCTGGTTAGCTGTCAAATGCCTTAGGCTTTATGCCACCAGAGTCTATATGAATTGTCAAAATAGAGCTGGATGAATTCTTCCCTCTAATGCCAACATGACCTCTCAAAGGGAGGACATGGCCAGTTTGGGAAAGTAAACTACTAAGGCAGTTGACGTACATAATGTAAGCACTTTCAGTTAGTAGGAAAGGGCTATATTTCACAGCTGTAGTGTCATTGGAGGGATATATTTTATGTCTAGTCTATCATAACCATGAAATAGGACTTTTTAAAGCATGAGAACCCACTCCAAAATTTACACACTTTTGCACAAGAAGATTGAATTATGCAGATGAAGTACAGCCAACTGAACACTGACTAAATGGCTGAGTGACCTTGGATGTCACCCACCCAAGACACTGGAAAGTATTGTTGCCTAATCTCATTAGAAAATGCTAATACTGGGAAAATGTTAATGTGTGTGGTTTTGTTTTTTTCTCTTCAAATATACTTTATAAGACACATACAAGAGGGCAGCAAGCCATAACAATACACATATTTCTGGTTTTATTCACCTCGTGAATATATTACATTTATTGCATAGTAGTGAAAACTACCAAAAAAAGAAAAAACCTATAGTGACCCCCATTGGGTTTCCAAGTGGTGGTAAATCTTTAAGGAAGTAAATTGCCTCATCTTCCTTCTGTGGAGCGGTTGGTGGGTTTGAAATGCCAACCTTCTGATTAGCAGTCAAATGCCTTAGGCACTGTGCCACCAGAACTCCTTACATAGTCCATTATTTTTGGCTGTTAATATTCTGATAATCTCCTAACACCCTTCACCTTCAATATTTTCATAATGACTGAGACATGAGATGGTTTTGGCTGAAAGACTGTCCTAGGCATTTCTCCTGCCTGTAGTCAGCCTTCCAATATCTTTCCCAATCCCATGAATTTGACAAGGACAACTGTTCTAACTCTCTGTATTTTGCCACCCCTCTACCTTTTCATGTCTGATCACATAATTTATGACAACTTATTTATTTAAAAGAATTTTTTTTTTTAAATGCATTTTGTTGGGGGAGGAGTATGGAGTGAGTGACCTGATGTTGAAAATTCCAGTCGGGCTTGAAAGGCAATTAAACACACAAAATTACCCATGAAAAATTAAGAAAGAAATTTAAGAAGAAAGTGAAGAAAAGAGAAAATGGAAAAGAAAAAGGAATAGAAACAAACAAAATTAATGAAAGACATATATAGGACTGTTGACCTTTAAATCTTCAAAATATTCCCTAGGCCTTGTGGCTGCACAAGTCTCATTAAATTCAATGGGAATAATCTGGTTAAATCCCTTCTTGACTCTTAAAAATAGCAGGAAACAATATTCTGAACTTAAAACAAATTTATAGTCTCTGTGAGCAAGAACCAGCTGTGCGTCTTGAACCTATCGTCCTCACGGTTGAATCATTTACACTATATATGCAGAAGGATTTAATTTTTAAATCTGGTATTCAAAACTTCTACTGAGTATGTTAACTCCCTTTCTAATAGGCTGGTCTCTCAGTTTAAACAAGTGGAGGTGCTTAGGCCTATGTAATCTTAGGTTATGAACACACTCTGGGCGGCTATAGAAATGTTTGAAGATCAGCAGAGAGTAAAAGGCCTGGCAAGGGAGAACCATATTAAAAACGCAGGGTTCTCATCAGTTCCTGGCAGTGCATTAATAGGCTTTTATGCATCTGATTATAAACTAGACAGTATATGACTATTATATACCCACTGAGTTTAATATATTGATAAAAATCCTCAAAATGAAATCTTAAGGCTCTGCTTGAGTCTATCGGGCTTCAGTAAGATTGGGTGATGATGAAGGTGTAGGAGTCTGATTTGCTGCTGCTGGGAAAAATGCCTCAAGAATTAGAAACCTGAAGAGCAGTGTGGATTATAAAGTATCAATTAGATGAATCCCACCTCTGAGGTTGTGTAAACAGTTAACGTACTCACTGCTAACCACAAGGTTGGGGGTTCAAGTCCACCCAGAGGTGCCTTGGAAGAAAGTACTGACAGCCTGCTTCCAAAAACAGCCATCAAAAGCCCTATGGAGCCCAGTGTTATTCTGACACACAGGGTGGCCACGAGTCAAAACCAACTCCATGACAACTGGTTGGTTGGTTTGTTTTTGAGACCTGGCCTCTGAACTCCATGCCCACTCAGGTCCTCAAGCAGGGTCTGGGCATTGGCTTAGCTGGGAGACAAGAGTGAACAAAATTCCTCCCAAGAAGGTCAAACAAACTAATGCCCACAATTAAAGGCTTGGAGCCCAGATTCATGACTCACACAACGGAAAAACTGTTAGGAAACCAAGTTGATTTGTAAAAGACTCTGCTGATTGTGGAATTCAAACCAAACCAGACCACCCTTCTCAGTAAGCCATGTGGTTTGAGCTGAATCTATGCAGGTGGTAGTGGAAGTGGGTCTTAGTGGTTTCTGATTTGTGTACCTGCTCTCTGACCACAGCAGACCCTGTCAGATGACTAAACTGGCCCTGAAGTTCCTCTCTGAAGCCATCAGATTGATGACCTTCAGCATATACCCAAATCAAATACGTTCCCAAAGTCACTCCTACCCTGCCCAACATTCAGGGGAGAATTCTCTAGAGTCTATATGTTTCCATTTTCCCCACAGCTGTTGTTCACTTTTTATTTTATTTTTTAATGCTCTCTAGCTCAATAGGCAAGGAGAAGAGAGGAGATAAAACAAGTTAGCTGGCAACTTCTTTGTGGCTTTAAGCAACTCTCTGGCAAGAGAAGATGCTCTGACAACAGTTAAAATGTTTGGTACATTATCAGAACTTCATTTATTCATCTCACCCCTCTTTCCTATTACAAAGGATTATAGAGAGCCAGCTGGCAGTTATCCTTTCTCTACATGAAACCACCCTGAGGGCAAAGAACTACCAGGGAATATAGGCAACTTGAGGTTGAGCTCCACTCAGGAGGTTGTTGTAGCTGCCATGGGCTTGGTCCCTGGTCCAAGTTGACCCTGTGCACAATGGAATGAAACACTGCTGGGTCCTGTTCTATCCACATAATCAGTTGCAGATCGGACTGTTGTCAGAAGCAGATCACCAAGCCTATCTGGCTAGTCTGCCTTAGTGTAGAAGCTCTGCTGAAACCTGCTCAATATCAAAGCAATATGGTGGCTGTGCACGCAGGATGTTGGCTGGGCATCAAAACCCCATCTTCCATGTGGAAGGCGAGAATTCTACCACCCGACCACCATTGCCCTTTCACTCACAAGGTAGCTTCAGCTATACAAGGGGTCACATGATCTCTCATATAATTTAGAAAGATGTGTGTAGGGCTATAGAATTTTCAGAACTTAGCTGATTATTCTTCAATTTAATTTTTTTGGCATTTAGGGGTGTTTGAACTTAGTGTTGGCAGGAATCATGTCAACCTGAGCATACCACAGGGAGACTTGGGGTTAAGTTCAGCTGAAGAGAAGTTTGTTTTGCAGTTTAATCAGGTCAACAGTGACAGTGTCCTTTAAGGAAGCATACTAATTAGAGCCGTTCTTTCTACTTTCAGCCTAGCTGGGTAGTGTCATTCTGTTGAGGAAACATTGATATACACCACAAGCCCCATTAATAAATGACTGTGGAGGCCAAGCCTGAGTGTGCTTCAATAAAGGAAATGGGAGAAGCAGGAAAACTGACCTGTTCACCTTACTCTAATGATTAACTTTAAAGTATTTAAAACTTCTGATTGCTTATACTGACTGTTTCCCTTCGTGTGTGTCTGCGGGGAGGAATTTCACAGAACACTAACAAAAAACAAAAGAGAGAGAGAGGCCAACATTTAACTGTGGCTGGCCTCTGGTACATGGCAAACGGACTTTAAACATCATTACACTTTTCTATTAATAAAAGGACGAGGAGGTGCTGTTCCTGAGAGGGCTCCTCGCCCCATGGACAATTACAGCCATGGTTTCCTGAACCCCATTTCATGGCCTGCCCACTGGAAAAGCTCTTGTAAAACTGCCAGCTCTGTGGCAGGCAAAACTGACAAACTTTGCCTGTCTCGGTGCTGCAGAATTGTGATGAAAATAAATAGTCAGGCTGCTGCCTGTGAGATTTCCTTCTCCTTTAGTTTGCAAACACAGTCCATGTCCTAGATGTGCTGCATTTAAACAAAGTATGTTACTCGGTTTCTTCAGTCGCGAGCTGGGATTGTCACCATTTGGCAATTACTGATGGGGAAGGAAATCTCACTCCCTGCTGCATATACATGTGGATGAAAGAAAAGAAATATTTATGGCTCATGCTTGGAGACCAGATGCTGCGTGGCATCTCTCCTTCTAGGACATTCAGGGAAATTGAAAATCAAGAAATACAGCAATGCACTTTTTTTTTTTTTTTTTTTTGCTGGGGCGCACACATAGAATCAACCAAATTTTATATCTAATTTGATACCTGATTGCATTGTGCTGTCTATTACTGTTGGCTTTTCTGTAGTCAGCACAGTGGTACCTCCTGAAAAACAAAAACAAGAACATACAAAAATGAGAAAAAGGAAGCCTGGTAATTTATAATGCAGACATTTTGTAGGCTACATACATCTATTAGAAGCAAAGATTTTCCATAGAAAAGTTTCTTTAATTCCAGCTCTTGTAGTTATTTTACTCAAATTTTACTTACCACAAGTATCAAATTCAAGTTAGCCACTGTTTTGTTTTTTTTTTAACCCAACACATTTCTTCTAAAGCATCCAGCATCCAGGAGGCATGGAGAGTTTGAGATTTGTTACAAGGGCATTCACTGATTCCCAGTCTAAGCCTGGCACACAACTCCAATAGCATAAAGCAAAAGACTCTGAATGTCCTCAGTGACTTGGGTATTAAACTTGACCTAGACCTCTAAGCTTCAAATAATTTTCCAAGGTTTCAGATGTGTGCCTTCGGGGGAGTTGCAAGCTAGACTCTACAATCTATTTCAAAACTGAATGTTTAAAGTGAATAACAGTGGTTCCATTTTTTTTTTTTTTTTAATGTTGCTGTAGTTGTTTGTTTTTCCCAAGTACAAATATTCTGCCCAGTGTGTGGTTTGGAGAAACTGCAGGAGGCAGCAGGAAAAGGGGAAGAGGTGAAATATTTCGTCATCATCCCAAGAAACTGTAAGATTGAAAAAATAGCAAGTGGAACACTAAACTTTCAATCAGTGTGGGTACATTTTGGAATTCCCAATCAGGGGACAGGCAGTAACTGAGTTGAGATGTTGCTTGACCCTCTTTTCCTCTGTGTTTCAGCTTTTCCATTTTTCACTCTTATCATTACAGTTGTGTTTTAAAGTGGTACTCTCAAATGTGCCTAATCATGAGAATTACCTGAACGCTTGTTGTACAATGACAGATTTCTATACATCTACCCCACCACTTGTCTGTCAGTTTGTTGTACTGCGGAGGCTTCCATGTTGCCATAATGCTGGAAGCTATGCCATCAGTATTTCAAATACCAGCAGAGTCACACATGGTGGACAGGTTTTAGTGGAGTACTCAGACGAATATGGACTAGGAAGAAAGACATGATGGTCTACCTCTGAAAACTAGCCAATAAAAACCTAACGGTTCACAACAGAACATTTGTTCAACTAGCTTTCTTAGAACACTTTATCAAGTGACATCAATTGCTGGAGGAGGACATCATGTTGGGTGAAGCAGAGGTCTATCAAGGGTGTGGGAGACGCTTGGTGAAACAGATTGGCACAATAGCTGTAGTGATGGACCTGTACAGATTGGCATTTGTGAGGATGATGCAGGACTGGGCAATATTTCTTTCTGTTAGACATAAGGTTGCTATGAATTGGAGTTGACTGGATGGCAGCTATCTATCTATGTATCTTTCCACTTACCTTCATCACACCTAACTGAGAATCAGGATTTCTAGGGATAAGACCTTGAAATCTGTCTTTTTTAAAGATTTCACCCAAGGTTTTTAATCTGCTAAATATGGGAAACATGGATTTGATGCTTCTTTCTTTTACCAAACCAAACTCACTGCTGTTGAGTCAGATCTGACTCATAGCGACCCCTCCTTGGATTTCTGAGGCGGTATCACTACAGAAGTAGATTGCCCCAACCTTCCTTCCGAGGAGTGGCTGTTGGGTTTGAACTGTCAGCCTTCTGGTTAGTAGTCAAATGCCTCAGGTACTATACCACCAGAGTTTACAAAAGCCATTTCTCCTTATGTGTGTCTACAGTGTAGCTCATGGCCTAAGGTAAGATATTATCCCAAGAGATACAGTACTGAGCAGATTCAGGATAAAGTATGTGGTGGGCCCAAGATAATCACGGAGATTCTGGAGGTTGTTCTAAGGTGCTGTAACTGTATACTTTCTGACGGTATCATCCAATAAAGAATCGTGATGGTCTTTATCCTGGCCAGTCTTATACTTGCAGCTCTCACAGACAAGAAATCACGCTACATATCCAGATCGCAAATGAAAAAGCCATAAAAATCATGCCCTTGGAATGATCTTGAGATTTCTGAGCTCATCAGCTACAGCATCAAGTCATGTTATACCTGCATTCCCAGTAAATGTGCTGGATGAGTGGCTACATATGTGCCTGGCCTCAATGAGGCAGGCACTAGAAAGAAGGAATTATATATATTATGGGTTAAGAAGGTGAATCCATAATAGCAGAATTGGAGGGAGGCCAGAATACATTAGCATTCTGTTTCCAGTGGCCTAATACGAAGAAAGACTCAAGGTGAAAATTCGCTTTTTAAAACTGATATGCATTATCAGTTTTTGTTAGAGGTTGGACGCCAAATTCTGCTGTTGGGTACACATAGCTCCAAAGTAAAATTTGGCCTCCCGGTGCCTTTGAAGCCAATTGTATTTTCCAAGGACTTCAAAGGCATTTGCAAATGAGTAACTTCAGGGGTGAATTTTCACCTTGGCAAGTATAGGAGAACAAAATCTCTCCTAATTTCTATGCATTTGGTGCAGTTTACCTGGAATTTGGAATTGTTCTTTGTAAGTACCAAACATTTTGCTACAATACTTCTCCCATTTATGTACAAATAGGTCACCCCAGGAGGAGAAATTAAATCAACACCATCTGTGTTAAAGAACTAAAAACTGCTAAAGAGAGCACTGAACCCAACTGCCATGTTCCCACCAATCAAGGTTAAAGCGTGAATGCTCTTGGTTTGGTTTCTTATACTATAGAACAGCCAAAGTTTGCAGATCTAACAGTAAAGCCTGTGACAGAATGAGCAGAGAGAACACAGTTTTGTGTGAGCAATACCAAACCAAACCCACTGCCATCGAATAGATTCCGACTCATAGTGAGTCCCACTGGGCTTCCAAGGCTGTAAATCTTTATGGAAGTAAATTGCCTCATCTTCCTCCTGTGGAGCAGCTGGTGGGTTTGAACCACCAACCTTCTGGTTAGCAGTCAAATGCCTTACACATAGTGCCACCAGAGCTCCTTCTGTGTTAGCAACAGCAGGCGTGTCATTCAGATGTAAAGAAGCACCTGGCTTAAGTGAAGCTTTTGTTCCTTACAAACATTTACATAAGAGCACATCCTTCTTCAGAACAGAATAGCTTCATAAACCACAATACATTTTTTAAAAAGGACAAATTGTCTTTAGTGCAATAAATGAATAAGAACCATGAGAATGTCTTCTAAAATCACTTCTACTTCATGGTGCCATTATCAACACCCCCAGAGGGTCTTAAAATACAGATGTATTTATAGAATTATTGAAGGAGCCCTTGAGGTGCAATGGTTGGTTAAGCACTCGGCTGTGAACCAAAAGGTTGGTGGTTTAAACCCACTCAGTAGCTATGCGGGGAAAAGATCCAGTAATCTGCTTCTGTAAAGTTTACAGCCTAAAAAACCCTATGGGCAGTTCTACTCTGTCACATGGGGTCACTATGAGTTGAAATTGACTCTAAGGTATGCAACAACAACAATAATTTACAATTATTGAGACAAACTTGCTGGCTTGAGAAAATAACTGCTGCAGCTTCTTCTTCTTCTTCTTTTTTTTTTTTTTTTTTGCTGTGGTACATGTAAAAGGAGGAGCCTGGTGGTTCAAACCCACCAGCCACTCCTTGGAAGAAAGACTGGCCAATCTATTTCTGTAGAGATACCTCCTCAGAAACCCAAGGAGGGGTCTCTATGAGTCAAATGCGATTCGATGGCAGTGAGTTTGTTTGTTCGTTTGTTTTAAATATATGTAAAAGGAGGAAAGCACTGTCAATCTCCTTTCTAAAAATCAATCATTGTTGTTGTTATGTGCCATCGAGTCGGACCCAACTCATAGCGACCTCTCCTTGGGTTTCCAAAGCAGTATCACTTTGGAAGTAGATTGTCCCATCTTCCTTCTGAGGAGTGGCTGGTGGGCCATTGACGATCCTCTGGAGTCCAGTTCTACTCTAATACACATGGGATCTCCCTGAGTTGGATTCAACTAGACGATAATTCGTTTTATTTCTTTTAATATGTAAAAAAAAAAAAAGTTAGAGTGAACTTTTTTTATCTACGCAAGAAATGATTTGAAACTCTGTAGATAAAGCCAAACGTTGTACTTTTACAGGGTTGTCAATGTTTCCACTATAAATGACTCATTTTCTGTGGTTTGTAACTCATTGCCATACGCAATTTGCTCCAGGCTAAAATACTTGCCCTAATTCATTCAAAGACTTCAGTTTCAATTGATTCAGTCATGAACTAATGCAAAAATGAGAAGGTTGGTTGTTCTGATATGAGGAGTAAATCTGAGGCTTTGTTTCTAATCAATATTAACTGACCACTTTAGAGTTTATGAAGAAAAGAATCTCCTCCCCAAGAGTGTAACTGAAAAGAGTATACTGTGATTACTGCAGTCATTCCTTTTTATGAGGAATTTCACTACGGATGTGTGATGGGGTCCATACAGAGCCTGGGGTTGCAGCAGAATGTTTACAGGCAAGCCTGGGAAAGTTCCAAAGGACCTGGTTCATGGAATGGGTCTCTGTTTTTTACAGAATCAGAGAGAGGGTGTTTCAACTTGAACTTGACGTCTTACATAAAAAATGCCTCTGCATTAATTAGAGTAATGTTTGTGGCTTGTGGCTATTTACATACAGGATTTGCATTCAGAAGCCCATACCAATGTAACATTTATTGGCCGTTTGAATGTCAATGATTATGCTGGAAATTTGAAGGGAGACAGATTTAGGAAGGTAGGATTTAAATATAAACCCAGGACATGGTACTATATATGTCTGAGCTCGATATATATAATTTTTCACCTCTTAATCCATCTCAGAATGCAGACCTCTCTTGCTCCTTCAGAGGAGAGCTTTTGAAGTAATTGAAAATGTACTGTGGGATATATCCTTCAAGATTGGCATTAACACTTTAGCCAATAACATGGCGCTATTACGAAGTTACATGGTAACACCTTCAGTTTCCCCCATGGAAATTAATTATGTTGGCTCTCTGAATCCCTCCTGGGTGAAAATACAGACTCGCATCCAGGGGATCATACTCAATTTCTGAGGTTTGGGATTCTTAAAATGAGAGTCAGATGCTATATGAAACTGCATTTTGAACTGGGTAGCAGTAAGGGTCCCACGAAAGCTTTTGCAACAATAGGGTGAAAATCCTCCTGCCTTGGCCAACTTCCAAATAGTGTAATCCTATTTCCCCACCTGACTAATATTTCCTCTGCCATTCCAAGTGGAAGAGAAGGTTGTTTTTTTAGCTTGCAGAGTTTGGGAATGTTATGGAATAATACTCTGGATTAATTAGTGAGATGTTTAGCATGTGACATTTTTAATGTATATGCTAGGTGGTGGTGATGTTAGCAACAACTAACTCTGCCTTTGTAAATTCAAATGTAAAGTGATTTATAAAATCCTCACTCAAAATCTGCATTGCAAGTAGAAGCCTGGTTTCATCAACTAGCTGTAGGATCCACTCAAATGACTTTGTCTTATTTAGAAAAGGACATTTCTAGCGTGTGTAGTTGTATTTGAACATGCATGTGCTCGGGGAATATAGATAGGGTGAGTGAGGAGAGAAGATGAGGAACAGTTTAGCGCATTTATAGCCACTTGCCATGGATTGGTCTCTAACTCATGGCGACTCCTTGTATGCAGAGTAGAACTGTACTCCAAAAGGTTTCCAATGGCTGATTTTTCAGAAATAGATCACAAGGTCATTTTACTGAGTTGCCTGTGGGTGGATCTGAACAGCCAACATTTCAGTTAGGCTGAATGCTTAACCCTTTGCCCCATCCAGGGACTTTTGCCATGGAGAGATTCTTATTCAGTTAAGCTTTTTGTCCCAAAAGTGGCTCAAATGATTGTTTCAAATGGCTGTGGATATTAAGAACAATTTGTTTACATGGGTGACATGAGAAAAATGATGATGCATACGTCCTGGCAAAGCTGCCTCTATTCTTAGGGCAGCTCTATCAGAACCTTGATGGCCCACTGCCGTGAGAAGTTAGGCTAACACATACAAGCATCAGTTAGTCCCCACTACGACATGAACTAAAATGATACAGCAATGGGATGAAGATGGTTTCTGCACCTGTGAGTTGGAAGTCATCACCTGTTCCACTGTGGCAGTTGGCCTGGTCATCATCACATTCATCCACTGGGTTCCCATTAGGAGTGGTCGGTCCAGCTGTTGGTACTGAAACAAGAGCTGACGGTTATTATCTCATACCTTGGAAATGTATTCTCAGGCCTCTGGCTGCTGAGTCTGCTAACCCGTTTAGAGAACTCCAATCTGTGCTAAGCAAGCCAGGGACATGGTTTGCCTCTCTTTCAGGAACTGAATATGCTTGGATTTTGCAGAATGCATCAGGGAATTTTTGTTTTCATATTTGAACCATATCTGCTCAATAGAGTTGACTGCCTTAGCATTTCATACATCATTATCTACATAAACATTTTTTTTTTCTTGAAAGCTCTTGAATCGTCACTGGTTATTTATCTGTGAAGGCGCTCTGGTGGTGCAGTGGTAAAAGCCCATGATCCTGGAGGGGAGAACAAGGTCTTGGGTGGCACTAACTGAAAAGATGACAGTTCGAATACACCCAGAGGAGTATCTGAAAAAAAGCCTAGCAATCAACTTCCAAAAGACCACAGCCATTGAAAACCCTATGTAGCCCAGTTCTCCTCTGAAACACGGTCTCACCATGAGTTGGAGTCAACTCAACTTCAGTTTTTTTAAGTTGAGAGCTTTGATAATAGAGACTTTGCTTAGACTGTCTTTCCTTTCATTTTCAAGATGCTAGGAAACTCACATGCCATGATTTTTTTTTTTTTTTTTTACATCTTTAGTATTTACTAAGTTTTCTGAAATATATTATGAATATTATTATTTCCCCAAATGGGAGTCCCATTTATTTAGTGCAACATTGTTCATTTTTAAAGAGTCATTCCATTTCCTTATTTCCCTTTAAGTAAACTTCTCAACCTGTAATCCCTCTATTCAGAGCAGGTGTCTGAGAGAAGTTGTCTAAGATCTCCTTGTGTCATTTTACCTTGACTCCCATAGGATTGCATTCCACAGTTGGCAGGTATTCCCATATCTTTGAATTTGTAGTTGAAAGGTAGCCAACATTAATCAAAGACTGCTTTTGAAGTCCTTTAAATTTAGTTCAGTCTTTTTTTTTTTTTTTCTTTTAGCCTGTTACTCATTTTTGCAATCTGTTTAATATTTTACAGTTTTTGGCATTACATATCACTTTACAAGACTTGAGATAATATATATCTCTCTTGATGTTGAAGAACTAGACAAGATGTCGGGAGCGGGGGCCTGTTCTTTTACAGTTTCTGGTCAGTAGGACTTTTCTGATGACTGCCATTTTCTCAATACAAATCTGACAGTAGTTGTCACTGTGATTTAGTAGAGTTATGACAAATGTAGAAACGTACATAAGTTTCAACTTCCTCAACTGCCCAAATACTCACATCAATAATAACTAGGAAATCACCATATAGTGATAACATATACAGTATTTGGGCATGCAGTTCAGAATTTGTAAAATGTAGACATGTGTATTCTGGGCTCTACTCAATGATGTGACTGAATCAATAGTGTACCCTCTCTGGCAGTCCAGATGGTTGTCTTTTCTAAGCTGTCCTTCCTCTCAGTAATGTGCCATTTTAAGTATTTTGAATGGTCTTGCCATGAGTTGGAATGGACTCAGTGGCAACTGGTTTGGTTTTCGGTATATCTGTATTGTTGGTTTTTCTGCATTTCTTATGCTGTTTATAAGAGGGGCTTCCACCTTGGAAGGTGCACTGAGTGCTGCCTAGATGGAACAGAAAAACTAAGAAAGCGAATGAGATTTGCTCCCCAATTTTGCTATTTGAAAATATTTTAGCTTCCATCGTTCTCCAACTGTTTCTTAAATATAAGAGCTACCGTAAAACAAGATGAAAGCTCTTAAAGGCTGAGTTGTAACGTATCTTTCTGTATCCCTCTAGGTGCCTTCTGTACAACAAGGCAGAGAGACGATATTTATTAAGGGCCTGTTAACTGATTGAAAGAAGAAAAGCACTCCTTGTCACCAATTGTGTTAAAAGTTTTGACATTCCTTTCCCGGATGTTGGTTTCTCATATGGCTTGGAGGCAACTTCCTCACTTTTTCCAAGTCCTTGGAAACATCTGCAGGCAAATCACTTCACCAACAATTTCTACCTCACTACAGAGTTTACATTGGCAAACTGCCACTGGGCTCAGTCTTTTCAACCATATATTCACTCCACCTCCTAAATCAGAGTTTCTTTCTAGAACCAACGCTTAAGACCTGCATCGTAGTAGGAGACTCCCTTTTCCAGATGCCCATATTTCTCAGTAAATTGAATGAAAGTGTCTGCAGTTGGTGCAACCTGTCCATCCCTTCTTTTTCTTGGCACCTTTACCAAAGCCCCTGCACCTTTGCCAAAGCTCTGGCACAGGATTCTTCTTGGTCTGGGTCGACAGCAGTTAGATAACTTGGAGGACTAGGACATGACTACAATTATGGAAATAATGACATAGTAAAGAAAGGGAGATAATGGCCTGGTTTTAAATAAGCACATAGAAATATAGGTATGAATTGTTTGGTAGTATGTTGATTTATAACTAAGTTTCTGTAGTGCATAAGAAAAGTTTTATGGCATTTAATGTTCTCAGGAATGTAATTGTATTTGCAAAGCTCAAAACACAAATAATTTTGGAAACCACAAGAAGGTGATATTTAAAAGTATTCTTCAAAACAACTATGAGCATATGTTCAATTGGTTAACATCTGGGTACCAACAATGGCCATTCTCTCAGCCAACCTGGAGAAAGACCTCAGTGGGGGTGGAAAACTGGTATAAGGTTACTCATTTATTCCCAAATCTAAGGCAGATGGAAATTATAGTTCACAAAATCAATAAATGGTACAATAAGCAACCGTATCACTTTTCCCACCATGTATCTCATTCATTACATATTAAAAAATGCAGAGGAGAGTGCAATCTTGAATGGACTCACGAATTCAGTGTGGGAACTGAATTTGTCCTTGATGTTACCTCCCTCCCATAACCTAAGTTAATGTAGTCATGTCTTTAAACAGACCTCCTAGCAGTTTCATACACATGATCATAAGTTGTTGTTTTTTTAAAAAAAATCAGCTTAAAAAGATCATCCAGGATGCTGTCTTTATGCCTCACTCTGTCCAATGCTGCTTCCTGCTAGTACGTGGTGGTATAGTCAATACTGCATATGCCAATTTGGATCATAAATAGATCTCTAAACATTAAAAAAAAAAAAAAAAGTCAAAAGAGAAAACTCCTGAACCGAGGGAAGTTATGCAAACATCCAAGAAAAAAAAAATGTGATGCTTATGTCTAGGATTCATGGTGTGTGCTAAAGAGAGACAGGACCATGCAGGGGGAAAGGGTGGCCATTTGTGACAACACATCAGAAGTATAAATGCATGAAAAAGGTTAAAAAAAAAAAACAAAAAAAACCTAGAGAACTAGAAGGGGCTCTGGAAATGTAATTACCTTCTACTTCACAGCCCAGCAGCTCCATCCTTAGCCCCAGTCCTCCATGAGTGGCTCTCTCGGGGTAGATCCTGATGAATCGTGTGGAAAGAGGTGGAAAAGTTCTCAGTTCCGGTGTGTCATAGTTGTTGTTGCCCTCAAAAGACTGTGAAGCATGAAAAAACACTGGTGATTAAGGATAAAAAACCTAAGACCTTCCTTTTATTTATTTATTTAATTAATTTTTTATTGTGTCTTGGGTGAAAATTTACACAGCAAATCAGTTTTCTATTCAACAATTCACACACATTTTGTTTTATATCATTGATTCCAATTCCCTCAATCCAATATCACTCCTCGTACTTCCTCCTCATGTTTCTCATTTCCCTTCCTCCTTCTCTCCTAACACTTCCAGCCTTCTGAACTTTGTCATTGGGCAAATGCTGCTCTTTTGATCTTGAATTGTTGTTTGTTCTAAGGAGTATGCACCTTCCTAGAGTTATTGTTCACCTTGTAGACCTGTCTATTATTGGAAAATTGAGTGATGGCAATGAGTTCAGTTCAGACATGAAGGGTGATTAAGGACCATAGTCCCACAGGTTCATCACTAAGCCTGATCTTTTTTGTCTCTTTTTTTTTAATGATTTTGAGTTTTGTTCCACATTTTTCTCCCACTCTACCCAGGACCTTCTAATGTGATGCCTTTCAGAACAGTTGGTAGTAGCAACCTGGCACCATCTAGTTCTCCTGGTCTCAGGGCAGTGGACCCTAAGTTTCACATGGTCCATTAGTCCTTTGAACTAATTGTTTCCATGTAAGACCTCTCTTTAAGCAGTTGTTTCTTCTGTCCTCCAGGACTCTTATTAGGACAAAGAAATAGGCTCTATACTACCACTTCATAAATGACATTTCTTTCATGAATGAGAAAGGAAAAAACAATCAAATCATCTCTGATGAGTGACAGATGTCATTTCTCAGAAACTTCTGTACACACAGCCGCTATCCTAGAAGCTGAGGATTTAATGAGACACGTTTTAAATGATATGCTGATGTGTGCCTTGGTGAAGTGACAGTTTTATCACTTCCTCGAGGTGGAGGAAGATAACTCAGGAAGAGAACCTGTCGGTTTTTAGAGCTTATAATAGACATCACACTTTCAATAAGCACTTCTCTTAAATCCTCTTAAAGAAGAAAGTCCTACTTTTGCTAAAATGTGGTCCTCTAGAAGAGAAAGGAATTAAATCCTGATGTAGTAGCTGGTAAATTTAACCTGAGGCAAATCAAAAGGTCAAACCAGTTATTATTGAACCAAGAAAACCAAACTCACTGCCATTGAGTTGGATCCTACTCAAAGTGACCCCTCCTTGGGTTTCTGAGGAGGCATCACTACAGAAGTAGATTGCCCAAACTTCCTTCCGAGGAGTGGCTGGGTTTGAACTACCAGCCTTCTGGTTAGCTGTCAGATGCCTTAGGCACTACACCACCAGAGCTCCTAGTTATTATTGAGTCACTTCCAATTCACGACAACCCTACATGGATCAGAGTAGCACTGAGCTCCATAGAATTTTCAATAGCTGTGACCTTTTAGAAGTAGATCACTAGCCTTTCTTCCAAGGTATCTATGGATGGACTTGAACCACAACCTTTCAGTTAGTACCTTGGTGCTTATCATTTGTGCCACTCAGGCAGCCTTAATCTAAGGCAAATGTTTGTTCAGTACCTTGGGTTATTCCAACCCACTGAAATTGTTATTTACTTAGAAATACCTACTACTTGTATGCGTTTGTAGTTAAAAGACATTCTCAGCTCAGGAAAGAAGTAACAAATGTCCTCACTTTATGCTTTGAGGCTGGATGAACTGCAGTATGAATCTGTACTGCTTTTGAAGAATATTTCTAATCTGAAGTCATTGTGACATATTTGAGGAACTAGGGCATCCATTACCATGACACTACTAGATTATTTTGTTTCTTTTTTTACATTGACAGGAAGATCAAAATCCTTCAGTGGAATCTTTGGAAAGTGAAGTAGTGATTAGGCCCGTTTTCTTTTTTCAAGAACTGGATAAGCCTCCCTGTATCATCTTCTCCTAACACCATTCTGAAGCTCATCAAAAATAGGAGGAGAGGAGAATTAGAGAAATAAAATTATCTTATCATTAGGTGTGCCCTTTGGATATCAAACATCATATCATGTTTTTAGGTGACAGCATTGTTCTAAGTATTTAAAATACTTACTCATTTAACCCTCAAAACAACTCCATGAGGTAAATTCTATTACTACCCATAGTTTGCAGATGAGGAAACTGAGACACATCCTTATGCCCATAGTCATAAGGATGGTAAGTGGCAGAGCCAAGATTCAAACCTAGGGAGTCTGAACTGGTGCTTTTAACCACAAGACAATGATGCTTGTGCCCTTAGAGATAATCTAGTCTAATCTCACTTTAATAGATGAAAACACTGAGATCTAAGAAATGTCTATGCCTAAGGTCATACATTTACTTTCATTAATTTTTCATGAAATTTGATGCAATTTAAGCTCTCAAGTCTGGTTGATCAGACTGAGTAGATGGCCAGTCCAAGACCATGGTCAGTCAGTAGTGGGAGCCATGCTCAATAACTGGATCAAGACATCATTACCAATCAAAGATATGAACATTCATTCAGTGGCGGAAATGTCATGCCCCAACAGTGGAGGTGTATAAGTAGAGATAGACAGATTGGGTAGGTGGTTCCATAAACAACCAAGGGTTTTCCAAGTTCTAACTAGTTAACCAGTTTCCTCTGGGTTGACTCCTACCCATGAAGACCCCATGTGTGTCCGAGTAGAACTGTGCTCCATAATATTTTCAGTGGCTGATTTTTCAGAAGCAGATCCCCAGGTCTTTATCCTGAGGCCCTTCTGTGTGGACTTGAACCTCCAACATTTTGGTTAGCAGCCAGGTTCGTTAACTGTTTATACCACTCAGGAACTCTTTCCAAGTTCTAGAAGTAAATTAATTGGCTTATTTTCAATCCACAGGAGCTTCCAGGAATCTAAAAGTATATGAGTAACATAGATCTGCTCCTCCCTGTTAAAGCTTCCTTCTATCTTGTTTCTTTTAAGAGTACCTTTTTGATAGAACTGCCATTCCTACCAATAATTGAGGATCTGACATATGCATTGTTAGGTACAATTAAGTTGTTGTTAGTACGATACTAATAAAGAAAACACCATTACTATATGTGCAAGTTTTGTCTATGTTAACATAGCATTCCTATCTTTGGAATCCCAGGCTCTTCTCTTAATTTTCATTTAAGGGAAGAGTTGACACAATATAAATACATTACAAAAGCTAACAATGATGAGTTCAGAAGAGTTAGCAATGAAAAGCCATATGAAACTAGACTAACTCTGATAACGTAAGATTGCTTATGAATAATCTTTGTATTCTTTACTAATCATGTTTTTAGAAGAGGAGAGCTTTGAGTATTTGATCTTCAATCTGTTACTTCAAAATTCAGTTAATTCCGACTGTGATATCTTTGGTCTATTATGCACTATTTAGGGGTAAGGAGTGAGGAGAGGGCATTAGATCCAATCAAAAAGCAAAAAACAAAACAAACAAAAACTAGTTGCTGTTGAGTCAATTCCTACCCATGGCAACTATATGTGTGTTAGATTAGAACTGTAATCTACAGAGTTTCAGTGGCTGAAATTGAGAGAGAGATTCTCAGGCCTGTCTTCCAAGGTACTGCTGTGTAGACTCAAACCTCCAGCTTGTGGGTTGGCAGTCAAGCACATTAACCCTTTGCATCACCCAGGGACTTCAATACAATCAAAATGCTGTTATTTATTTATTTATTTCCCTTCACAAAGCAAATTGCTTGTTTCACTCTGGTGTAAAATGTGCTTGACATCCTAAGCAAGTAACCATCAGTTGTAAATATAAATACAGTCCATTTAAAATATCTTTATGAAAGTTTTAAACATGTGGTGCTCCTAAATGTTATAATCTTTAAAATGAAAATAACTGGGAAAAAACCTTCCATTTAGGAGCACCACATGTTAAGAATTACAGATTAGACACTATGTAAACAATTTAGAAGCTTTTGTGGTTTTGAATGTCACAGGAGGATGATAATGGTGGATACAATCATATTCTAGGAGTAAAATCTAACACATTCAGACCGTCTTGAATTGAGTTGTGTTAAAGTTGAAAAACTGTGGGTAAGCTTCAGATGGAATTCTATACTCAGTTCACTACAACAAAGTGATAGCTTTAGGCTTGATTGTGGACACTCAGATAACAAAAGACCGGGGAAGCAAACATGCTATGCATCCTATCAAAAGCATATGGTGATTTGTTTTCTTTCTCTCTCAGAACCAGAGTGTTGAGGAATGTGTCAAAACAGCACACACTTCAATCACAGCACTTCTATGAAGTTGTTGATTTGCAGCATATTCACACTTTGTGATGAAGTCACAACGGCTCACTACTCATTGAGAAAGATTGGCTCTTAAGGAAACTCCAGTTTCTGATGTTTGTTTTATTTTTTTCTTTCCCCTAAGCTAAAGGGGCAAACCTCAAAGGGAAAAGAAAATGGACACAAGAAAGGTGACTGCACCTAGATAAAAATAACTTGAAACGTGTTTTGGAAACCCAAAGTTAATGAGGGAAGAGATAGGAGAGACATTCTTATCTGGGCCCCCTGCACTGGGGCTGGCTCCCATCAGCACGTGGGACACAGGGCCGTCTCTGCAAAGCAGAGCCACTACATCTGGAGGAGTAGGAGCTGGCAGCATCTCCAGGCTTATGTTTCTTGCCTGCAATGCCTTTGGCCTGAGTCACTAAATTAAGCCATATTCCCACACTCGCTTAGAGTGGGAGTGAGGATAATATTCCCTGCAATGGGCTAAAATCTTCTTTCCACAAAAGAGTAGGTCATGGGCAAAGCAGGGATGGGGAGGTCTGGGACCAAAAGGCCAATTGTATTGGTTGTGAAAAGCATTATCGGCTGAACAGGTCCCACACTGCGTACAAAACCTAAACTTCTGATTGTAGATTGATTACTTATTTTAATCCTGAATAGGCTGCCTGGCCACCCAGAGAACTTTTGGGCTCCCTTTCCTAGTTGGCAATGTGTGCTCAGGAAATTCAACTCCTGGCCTAACTAGTCACTCAAGTATATCTGTTTTTTTTTTGTTTTGTTTTGTTTTCTTTTTTTAAAAAATCATGCCATGTGTTCTGGTGAATTTTGTAATATTGTATTTTTATATGAGATTTCCTTTTCTTTTGACCAGCTCATCAAGTGTCAACTCTATTTTAAACATTTCCAATGAATAAAAAATACACTTAAATCTAGAGTGACTGGGAGAAGGAGTAAAAGGGAGACCTAATGATAGACTAGACTCCCTGAGTGGTGTGAACAGTTAAATGCTCTGCTAACTAAGAGTTTAGAGGTGTGAGTCCACCCAGAGGTGCCTTGGAACAATGGCCTGAGGATCTAATGCTGAAAAATCAGTCATTGAAAATCCTATGGAGCATAGTTTTACTCTGACACATACGAGGTCACGATGAGTCAGAAGTTAGTTCCATGGCTACTGGTTTAATTGATAGATTAGAATCTGTGGAAAGATTCTGGGCTTCTACTTGGCTGCTTTGAGCCCCCTCACCACCCCCTCACTTTTTGCTCAACACCTGAGTATTGAGCTATCTGGGGTTCCTGATAGGGAGGAGAAAGCATGCCACCAGCAGTATAATTTTCCACTCCACTTATCTCAAATGCCACTTTTGGCACCCCATTTCTGACTTCCTGACCAAAAAAAACCACTGCCATCTGTTAGGCTAGAGTAAACTCAAGCCACCAACATTTCAGTTGGCAGCTTCCTCCAGGTGTCAACCCTAATGAAACAGCCTGATAAGACAACCGAGGTGGCAGAACCCACCCAGGCTGGAAAGCCCCATGTGATGATAAACTTCCTCCTGTGAAGCCCCTCATGCTAATTAGGTGCAGACCCATGCCAACAACTAATTGGACCCCGCCATTTCCTTAGTGTCCCCATTTAGGTCCTCTACAAGACTATAAACCCTACCCTCCCCAGCCAGGTGGCGCGACTTCTCGGGCCCCTCTCAGGGACCTGTGAACCTCGCCCGGGGCCCTCTTCGGGACCCGTAAACCTCGCCCGGAAGCGCAGAATAAAAACTTCTCTTTAACCTCACTTTTGTGAATCCTCTTCTCCTTACCATGGCCTTACACCATCAAATTGATTCCAACTCATAGTGTCCCTGTTGGACAGAGAACTGCCTCCATGGAATTCCCAAGGCTGTAAATCTTTACAGAAGCAGATTACCTCATCTTTCTTCCACAGAGCTGCTGATGGGTTTGAAACATCGACCCTTCGTTTAGTACCCAAATGCATTAACCACTATGCCACCAGAGCTCCTGTTCTGACTTCTTTAGGTTGAGGGATTTTAGTGACACCATTACACATCTCCACTGATCTCAAGGCTTAAAGGGGGGAAAGAAAAAAAGTAGCACTTCCTCTGGGAAATAGTGGAGACCCTGAATTGAAATCAGAATGTGAGGAAGAACCTCCTCAGTGGGATATCACTGTCCCCCAGACTGCTCACCTTGGGCTTGCGCTTGCTGTCATCCGTGACCATTTTCCAGTCAGAGCTATTGTTGCTGTACCCAATCTTGAATTTTCTCATGAATACTTTGTTCTCCCGGTGCTTCCCTCCCTGAATGATGATGCCTCGCACAATCTTCTCCTCCCCCAGGTCTATTTGGAGCCACTCGTTTACGTAGGGATGAGGTGCAGGCGGCAGTGCCCAGCCAGAGCGACTGGTGACCAGGCGAATATTTTCAGGCATCCAGTTTCTGTCTGCTTGGTTTGATGCTGTTATCTGGGAGTCAGAAATGAGTCCAGACACCATTCCCAACATTCCAGAGCAAGGGTAATCTAAAAAGTGAAATGAAATAGATAATGCAATATGATTTCCTGGTAAAATGTCAAATAAAAATATTGTCTGCACCCATTCATATAATTTTTCAAATCTTTGAAACATTTTACATTCTACAAGCTACAGCCCTCCCTTCCTCAATCTTTTTCCTCATCCTTTCAGAACTCTTCTAATTCATAGCAAAAAAACATTTCAATAACTCCACCGTTTCAGTACTAAGTTTAATGCTGAACTGTTGATGTCACATTCTCTTTGGTATTCAGAAATTCTCTCTAGATAAAGTATAAGCCATGCTCAGCAGAAGTTCATAGTTTATGATGGATTAAACCCAACCGAAACCAAACTCACTACCATCAAGTTGATTCCGACTCATAGTGACCCTCTTTGAGTTACCAAGGTGGTAAATCTTTACAGAAGTAGATTGCCCCATCTTCCTTCCGTGGAACAGCTAGTGGGTTTGAACCACCAACCTTCTTATTAGGAGTCAAATGCCTTAGGCACCACGCCACCAGAGCTCCTATGATGGATTAAACTCGCTGCCATCGAGTTGATTCTGACTCATAGCAAACCCCTTTGGGTTTCTGAGGTGGTAAATCTTCATGGAAGTAGATTGCCCAGTCTTCCTTCCACAGAGTGGCTGGTGGGTTTGAAGTGCCAACCTTCTGGGTAGTAGTCAAATGCCTTAGGCACAATGCCACCACCAGAGCTCCTTTATGAGGGATTGAGGATAAGTAAATAAATAATTACAAGAGCAAGAAACTACTTAAGCAAAGGTAAAAAGAAGGTAGTAAGGAGGTGAAAGGAAGAAATGCCTGGGGATCTACTTCTGAAATTTCACAGCCGTCAAAAACCTGAAGGATTATAATTCTACTCTGACATACGTGGAGTCAGTATGAGTCAAAGTAGGCTGGGCAACTGGCAAGGAGGTGGAAGGAAGGAAAGGGTTTGACTCCCTGTGGAGAGGTCAAAGTGTTTCCTAGAGAAGGTGACATTTGGATTGTTAAAGGATAGTGCCTATCCTGATGTTCAGCTTTCCTCTCCACCCCTATTTCTAATTGCATCAGAATCTTTCAACATGAATATCTCATTGTCATCTCAAACATACCATGTTCAAACTGAAGCAGTGGTATCACCAGTCATCAAGTTCCTGCCTTGTCATCTTGTCTTTCCCTATTTTGTATTTCCATTCCTGTTTTGCTAACATATGCTGTCATATTTTCTTTCTAAAGTCTCCATTTCCTTTGGTGTCATCCTGTTCTAAGCACTCGTGGCTAGGGTACCCTAGTGGAATCCAAACCCCGGTCTCAAATCTGTACTACACGTAACTGTCATGTGATTTTTTTCATAAAACTTTGCTTTCCCCTTGTCATTCTCATGCTCAAAAATCCCCCACAGGCCCCTGTTATTTATAGGATGATGTTGGAAGTCCTCTATCTGATTTCCAACACCCTCATTTTGATTTTACCCTATTTATCTATTTTATTTCCTACTAACCAAAAAAACAAACCCATTGCCATCAAGTCGATTCCGACTCACAGCGACTCTAAAGACAGAGTAGAACTGCTCTCCATAATATTTCCAAAGCTGTAAAGCTTTTCTCTTGGAAGGAAGTTTGGGCAGTATACTTCCATAGTGACACTGCCTCAGAAACCCAAGGAGGGGTCGCTATTAGTTGGATCTGACTCGATGGCAGTGAGTTTGGTTTTTTTGTTTAAAGCTTCTCCCACAGAGGCTGGTGGGTTCCAACCATCCACCTTTTGGTTAGCAGCCAAGCGCTTAACCACTGTGCCACCAGGACTCCTTATTTCCTACTACTGGCAATATATTCCAATCAATTCATTTTCCTCTCATATATCAAAATTATGTTTCAGTCATTGCCTTTGTTCAAAAATTTCTTGCTGTGTCTTTCTCCTCCTTTGGCAGAACTAAATTCTGCCCAATCCTTGAAATCTAGCTTAAGACTCATCATAAAAACTCCTCCAAGTAGTGTACACTTTATTCTGAGCACTCCTTTCTCAAGAAAAAGGAATCCTGGTGGAACAACAATTACATGTTCGGATGTTAACCAAAAGGACAGTGGTTCAAATGTATTCAGAAGCTCTGCTGCTGAGAAAGACCAGACAATCTGCTCCTATAAAGATTCAAACCAAAAGTCAAACCCACTGCCATCGAATTGACTCATAGCAAGCCCCTCTGGGTTTCCAAGGTGGTGAATCTTTATGGAAGTAGATTGCCCCATCTTCCTTCCATCTAGCAGTTGGTGGGTTTGAACTGCCAACCTCTGGTTAGCAGTCAGATGCCTTAGGCACAGCCTGGCCAGAGCCCCTTCTTATAAAGAGTACAGTCCAGAAAACCCTATGGGGCAGTTCTACTTTGTACATAGGGGGTCTATATGAGTTGGAATCAACTTGATGGCAACATCTAACAACAACAACCTCTCAAGGCTGTGATTACGTGTATAGTCAGTGGCACAGAGTTTAGCATTAAACTGTTCTTTAGGTATTTTAAGTGTGATAAGTCTTGTATCCATAGCTAGACTATAGGGTCACTATAGCTTGGAACTGACTTGATGACAGTGGGTTTGGTTTGGTTGTTTAAAGGCAATGAACGACATCATATATCTTTTTATATCTTCCACAGCAACTAACAGAATGCTGAGCACAAGAGTACCAATCATGGATCAGTTAGTTGGTAGCTTAACCAAAAGTCTAGCATTTCAATTATTCTCCTTTCAAAATTATACATCTCAGTCAAAAACATGGACAGAAACGGTAATCTATTATTCTTTGAAATAACCCAATTCTTCATTATTTAATCAAAGCTTAGCCTTAAAATATAACCATCCTATGTATGAGTCGGAAGTGACTTGATGGCAGTGGGTTTGAATTTTTGGAAGTGAGAGGCATGTATCTAATGCAATTATACTATGTTCATGTTAGCAGCTGAAGCTTAAGAAACATTTGCTTTGATATTTTCCATGTGAGTTGCACAGTTCAGCTCATGTCATCTCTTAACTCAAACCATCAGTGTCTGCTTGTCTAGGAATTACACATGTACTTTTCAAGTAGGCAGACAAGGTCTTCTATATGATGCCTTTTCAAGATCTCTCCCCAGGTATCCCTTGATGTTGTTATCAGTTGCCATCAAGTCAACCCAACTCATAGTGACCCCGTGCACACCAGACTCAGACCATTGTGATGCAGAAGGGTTTCCTTGGCTAATATTTGGAAGTAGATTTCCAGGATTTTCTTCCCAGTCCCTTTCAGTCTGGAAGCTTCACTGAAATCTGTTCAGCATCACAGCAAAACCCAAGCCTCTACTGACAGAGAGGTGGTAGCTGCTAATAAAGTGTACTGGCTGGGAATGGAACCCAGCTCTCCCACATGTTGTTGTTGTTGTTATGTACCATCAAGTTGGACCCAACTCATAGCGACGCCTCCTTGGGTTTCCAAGACGGTATCACTATGGAAGTAGACTGCCCAACCTTCATTCCGAGGAGTGTTTTGGTGGGTTTGAACCGCCAGCCTTCTGGTTAGCAGTCAAGTGCCTTAGGCACTATGCTACCAGAGCTCCCACATGACAGGTGAGAATTCTACCACTGAAAAACCGCTATCCTGTCCAGGTATCCCACACATGCCTTTTGTTACAGCCAACTGAGGTGAATAACTTCCTCACATCTGTAGGGGCTTTCGCTCACTGTATTTTCTCCACTAGAAATTCTGCATCATTTGCCCTCCCCGTTATCCTAACTCTTAAAACCTTGACCCATTTACAAATGCCACGTCACTTATTTTCTCCAACTGGATGTGGTTTTCCTTTTCTCTGACTCTCCACAGCACTTTATCTGCATTTCTCATACGTGGAATATTTCTCATATTCAGTTCCTTGGATTGCTGCTAATTTCCCCACCCAGATTTTAAGTTTTAAGAGTATGAATCAAGTTATGTTTTTCTATTTCCAACGTTTCTTTGTGCCCTGTTTTATACATAGCCTCTTCTTGGGAAATATTTGTTGAATGAATCAACATAATAATACAACAAAAGGCAGATGTCCTTTTCTCAAGCACCCTTTCCTGTAATTCAGCCCCAGTATTTGCTTCAGGCTGGGATCTGGAAACCAAGAATAAACTCAGTGGCTTTAAAAAAAGATTTACAAAAACTATTTTACTGAGGGACTATGGGACTATAAGTGTCAAAAATAGAAGTCACATTTTCAGCCACTGTGGTCACACCTGCCTGATTCAAAATCAACTTTTATAAAGGCAATGTTTAGCTGGTAATGGGGACCAGATGTTTCCATTTGGAGAAAAACATAATTAACTTGAATATTGTAAGAAGAACAGAACTTTTACCAGATCAATGTCTTTTCTCTAATGCAAGGTTGGTGAGGGCAGCAGTGAACATATCCATAGAGCTAGCAGTGCCCAGCCCCCATTCTGCCAACATACCTCTAGAGCAACAGGCTGTTCTTTCTTCTGTATGTCTGTCTCACCCAAACAAACAATGAAGAGGTGTGATTTGCTTGTTACTGAAACCCATGTGACTCATTTTTAACAAGGATTAAGATAAAAATTATATGCACAATTAAGGGATTGTAGGAGGTGCTAGGATATAACATAGGAGCCCACTGACATGTGTGGACTAACCAACTAACTCCACTGCCATGGAATTGATTCTAACTTGGAAATCCCATAGGGTTTCCAACACTGTAAATCTTTACAGAAGCGGACTGCCTCATCTTTCTCCCATGGAGCAGCTGGTGGGTTTGAACCCCTAACCTTTTGGTTAGCAGCTGAATGGTTTAACCACTGTGTCACTAGAGCTCATTTGCAGAAGTATGAGTTAATAAACTTCTGGTTAATAAGCACAAGATAACAGAGGCCATAGTGTGTTCTTATACATCAAGCAGTAACTCTACAAGATTATTTCCACAAAGTTTCATCTTCAGAAAACAATGAAGCCTGCTTACACAAATGCTCCTTTATCAATTATTTATAAAGTAGAATGGTTTGTTCTAACCTTATTTTCTTTATATCTCTACATGGTAACTCACCATCATAAACTCCACAATCACTATCTTTCTAAAAGATTATTTCTGAATTAAAAATTTTGGTTAAAAACATGGGGCTATGGGGGTCTTATCATATACTTTCACCATAGTGAAAAACAAACAACAACAATAAAATAAATAAATAAAACACGGAGCTTTGGAAACCTTGGAAGTCAAGCAATATGTTCCTTTGGTAACTTCTAATTTGACAGTTGTGGGTTTTTTTTTTTTAAACCAGCAATACTGAGTAAAAACTTGCCTATACAGTATTAACTAAAGGAGGGTACAATTTTGAGATCCAGCCACTTATTTGGCAGAAGGCATAGATAAGAATTGTAACTTATTAAGAAATTATCCATTGAGCACATTAAGTTTCAGGTATACAGGACACAATAGGAAAAATACAAACATGACACCTGCTCTCATGAATCTTCCAGTCTAGAGGGATACCACTATCCTAAGTTTCTTTCATTCATTTCTACTCTGAGGGGATCGTGGCCTTGAAAATAAGAAAATTACCTTTTCTGATAGCCAAGCAGTAAACTCTGATGTCATTGTCTTATTACAGGCTCTGCTTGCTGATTCTAGGCTCAATATATTGGGTACCATCTGTTGCTTAAATTTACTGATACCATTTAGTTAGCATTTACTCTAAGATAGGTGCATTCCAAATATGCACCTATCTTAGAGTAAATGCATTACGATTCATTTTAAATCCACTGTCGTGAAGTTGGATCTGACTCATAGCGACCCCTTCTTGGGTTTCTGAGGTGGTATCACTATGGAAGTAGATTGCCCAACCTTCCTTTGGAGGAGTGGCTGGTTGGGAAATGGAGATCAGAGGTACTCAATCACTTGCCCATAGTCACGTATGCACATCACTTGCCCATGGTCACACATTCACTAAGTAGACAGTCCAGAGCTGAGCTCTGGTGTGTTTGTATAACTTCTGTCCATGTGAGTACCTTATCACGTGTTGGCCTCTCCAAACTTTGTCTCTATATTAAGTATATAAAATATATTAAAGATCATGATTAAAAGCCTAGCACTACAAGCTTAAAAAACAGAAAAGTTACCTTATTTGAAAAGAAAAATATCCAAAAAAAACACCAAAAACCCAAACTCACTGCTGTCGAGTTGGATTTGACTCACAGTGACCTCTCCCCTTGGGTTTCTGAGGAGGTATCACTATGGAAGTAGATTGCCCAACCTTCCTTCCAAGGAGTGGCTGGTGGGTTTGAACTGCCAGTCTTCTGGTTAGCAGTCAAGTGCCTTAGGCACTATGCCAATAGCTACTTAAAATAATTATAAAATAGAATATATGTGAAAATATTACAATATGCTATTCTAGACATTGATCATTAAATAACTGGGTCATTTAACTAAAATGTTTTAACCCAATAAATTATTTGTCTTCTTTGCATGGGAAGATACAGACACCCAGAATTAACTCTCAGAGAAATTCTTGTGAAAACAGAAAAGGGCAGTTTGGTTTTAAGTAAGTGTTCTACTTTACTGAAAGGATATTGACATTAATCTTCAAGAGCCTGAAAATTCAGTGTTTAGGCTAACACATTTGGAGCCATATGAAGTTTACTACCTCTTCTTCCTTTTTTTTTTTTTTTTTTTGAGTACAGTGACATGAGATAAGGTTGAAGGAATGGGCCAGAAATGTCCACTCTGACCCCAAGTGGCCTTATTTCTGTGGATTTATGGGTAGAGTCTCAAATGTGCAATGCTCTAAAAGTGACCTAGAACTTTTTCTCATCTAACAGTTGATTGAAAATAAAACAAAATTTATACCTAATTTTTCAGTGCCTTTTCCTCTTCCAAACCCTTCCCTACCTAATTCCTGACTCTAGGCCCTAAACTTTTAAGTCTTAGATTCTAAAACAATAATAATAATAATAATAATAATAATAAAATCTGTCTCTGGGATGGAAAATAAATAAGATTCTGGTAAGAAATCAAGTGTCAATTTTTACTTCCCAGGACAGATTTTACTGATAACTAGTTTGGTTTTTTTTTCCCCTTAGTTCTTCTCCAAATTGCTGCTTCTTCATGAAAAACTTCCAGCTGATTGTTTTGTTTTTTTCTTCTTCATTCAGTCTGCTAAATCTGTCAAAATGTAGTACCTTCTGCCTCTAAAAATAATTATATTAAAATGATAAAAAAAAATACTGTTGGTATTCTACAACAAAAAATTAAATACCTAAATATGCTTACTAAGATGATAATATTATAGGTCACAAACTTTTAAAAGTTGTTCACTTTTAATTATCTGTTGGTGCATCAATCTATTGATTTTGGTTTTGAACGTTTAAGCTTAATGAGAAGGTTACATTGTACTACTTTTTGTTACAAAATCTTGGCAGTGTATTTACTCAAATGGTAAGGAATTCTAATGCACTTGCTATTTACTTCAGAATACAGAGTAGTCTTAATCAATAGACAAGTAATAGCAGTGCCGATAGCCATAGACATGCAGTGAGAATAATAACCATGGCAATAGTTCTACTTCCTGTTGCATCCTAACCTTTTTTATCTGATTAATTTCTCAGTAACCCAATTTCTTCATCTCTCTCATGGAGATAATAACATTTTCCTACCCAAATTTGACAGAAACTTTAAAAGTTCTATCAGTGTTAGAAGAAACTAATGAAAAAACTAGAAATATTTACTAATTTATTTCTAATTTCAGTATGTTCATTTGGCAAAAGGTAGATATTTATTGAGACAAAACCTGTTTGAAAGAATGTTGTCAGAACAGTTAATGAGTTTAAAGGAGGCACTGTCACGAATGAAACTACTTCACTATAGTTGTTGAGGCCATCTCTTGACTCCAGAATTAAAAAAGATAAAGCATATGGAAAAGCTTTCCTGCAACAAGCATTTATTGTAAATCTACTAAAGTACCAGTCAGTGTGCCGTGCACCAGGGAAGCACAGGTGAAAGGCACTGTGCTTGACTTCATAGAACTTACAGTCTTACAACAACCAAAAGTTGGTGTTGGTGTTGGTTGCCATAGAGTCAATTCTGATGCATGAAGACAACATATATGCAGACTAGAACTGCTCCACAGGGCTTTCAAAGCTGTGGCTTTTCAGAAGCACATCACCATTCCTATCTTGCTTCCGAGGTGCCTCTGGATGGGTTTGAACCATCAGTGTTTCCTTTATTATTCGACTGCTTAACCATTTGCATCACCCACATTCTTTACCATTTAGCAAGTACCTCCTATACAGCACACCAAACCAAATTCATCTCCATAGAGTCTATTCCAACTCATAGCAACCCTAGAGGATAGAGCAGAACTGCCCCATAGTGTTTCCAAGACTGTAAATCTTTATGAAAGCAGACTGTTTCATCTTTCTCCAGTGGAGTGTGGCTACTGTATTTGAACAGCTGACCTTTTTGTTAGCAACCTAATGCTTTAACCACTGTACCATCAGAGCTTCTTTCCAACAGGCCAGAGATTCTAAATGCTTTACATCCCTTATTTCCTCCATTATCACAGTGGCATAAAGTATTTTGACTATTTCCAGTAAGATAATTGAGGCTTTCAGAGATAAATATATTGCCCAAAGAAACAAGCTAATGATAGGTACAGGATGTGAACCCAGATTTGTCTCACTCCAAAACAGATGATCTTTATTGTTATGTGCTATTGAGTCAGGCTGGACTCATAGCGACCCCTCCTTGGGTTTCTGAGGCAGTATCACTACGGAAGTAGATTGCCCAACCTTCCTTCCGAGGAGTTGCTGGTGGGTTTGAACCTTCAGCCTTCTGGTTAGCAGTCAAGTACTTTAGGCACTATGCTACCAGAACTCCCACAGATGATCTTAGCTCCCACATAAAAGATGGCTACATTTGTACAAAATAACTCTTCCTATATTTAAAAGTTCATATAAAGCAGAACCAGCAATGCTAACGTGGGTACTTACCTGCTATCTTGCATCCATAGACTTCAAATCTCATAGATATGCCAGTTTCCCAAGTCACAGGTTTGATTCGAACAAATCGGGTTATCAGTGGTTTGGGGAAAACCCCAAACACAACATCTGTTGGGTTGGTATTTCCCTGAAAGATCTATATAGAGAAAGAAAAGTTCCTTTCAAGAACAGAACTTTTGGACTTAAAACAAATCCAGACACTATTTTTTTCCACAAGTGTTTGAAAAATGTTGACAATTTCAGCATTGCCTATCAAGGTTGAGGTGACTTTAATAACTTGCTGTGTTATTTTTTTCCAGTGATGGCAGTCAGAAAGAATCATATTTAATAGAATGTTTTCCTAATCATCTGTTCAATTTTCTGAGTGGCTAGAACAACTGGACTCCTAAAAGCACTACTACAAGGAAAACATTTTTTAAGGATACATACCATTACCTATAAAGTGAGGGGTTTCACTGTAAGAACTTATATAATACAATAGACATTCCATGGGAACTCTCATGATTTTACTTTCCCAGGCACCTCCAGATGGAATGCTGTTTTGGAGTTCAGTGTAGGGCCTGGCTTTTTGAAATTCTAGGTTATGCTCCCAGCTACTGTATTAGATCAAGTAGCCTCTTCCCTTTTGTCTCCATTTCTGGATGGAAGATATGATCCCTGACATTAATTAATGAGCTTAATATTTTTTAGTTATTGATGAAAGTATGTTTTTGGTATAAAACATAATTTGAGTTATAAATGATTTCTAAATGAAAATCATCTTTTTTAGGACTTCTAGTTTTTAAATGAGGCATTTTATTATAAGAAAGATAAGGGGTGTAACTGTAAATGTAATGGGTGCCAGACATGAATCCCTTTCCCAGTAAGTATGTACTGGGACGACTCTGACTTGGCCATGGCATTGCAACAATGTTCTCTAGTAAGATCTCTGAGGAATGGAGATTATTTGCTATCATAGAACATTCTAGCACTAGACTTGCCTCAAGTGGAACAGAAAGCCTTCACTTTGCCCTATTCCCGGATTTTTACTTCAGCCCTGGATTGGTTACAGCTCATGTAAAATTAGTGCCTCCAAGTTTTATACCTAGCACCATGTGTCTCTGCACAGCTGAGTCATAATCCTCCTTGCAGGCTAGGCAACTGGAGCATTATTGGGGCTCAGCAGAGAAAAAGAGGTTTCGCCCCACCTTTCCAGGTAAATACAAGGAAGAGGGCTATAATTTCCTAAGGTTTGATCTTACCTGTGGAGAGAATGGGCTTGTAAAAGTCTGACTAGTGTTTCTACTTCATTTCCTTTAAGTGGGTTATACAAGTGGAGGTGGTCAAATATTTTAGAAAGTTGGTTGTGTGTTGTAAGCCTGATCCTTTTCTGGAGAAAATTTAATATCATAATTTATCCTAGACTGTGATGGCCTTGAGATTTCTGTCCTACTTCCAACAACTCTCTCTGGGAAACAATCTGTGTGGCAGCATTCTTGTGTGACAAAGAATAATGGGTAGTTACGTCCAGAAGGGCCCCTTCTTACAGGGTCAATATGTGCACTTCAGAGTGAAGCCAGCAGTCTGCTGAGTGCTCTAACAGAAGGTGAGGGGGGTGAACATTTTGCTCACATTGAGAGAACTTTATGTTCACCAAATACTATGCAAACATATAAATTTAGTTTAATATAAATGGGCTGCGGGAGTTACTGTTAGTCTATGCTATTTTCTGTGTGGTATGGCCAAATCTCCCTGGGGAAGCAGGAGTAACACAGATGGCAGTGGTTGAAAGGCCCCAAGGTAGAGAGAAAGGCAGAGTGGTCAACAAGAATGAGACTCCAGCTGAGTGTTTGATTTATTGAGGTTCAAGTGAAGTCTCAGAGATACCATGTCTTCATCTTTGCTGAACCTTTTCTTATCCTTTCCACCTCCTATGCTGGATGTTTTTTGTGCGAGGATGTTCCTGACAATGGACCTAGTCCATGTGTGTGCACTGTCAGATACCCTCAAAGCTACGTGTGCTTTCCAAAACCCTGCTACCGTCTATGAAAGAATGCATATGGCAGAAGAGGATATCTTGAAGACGTGGCTTATAATTTTAAAGTAATAGCTGGAAGCTCTAGTGTCCAATCTTCCCATTCTCTAGGTTCTTTTCATTGTTGGTATATCCTTAGCATTTAGTGTTGTTATTTTTCTAAAAAAAAAAAAATAATGCAAAATCTTAAAAAATCTACTCTAAAACAAGTGCAAGTCATGAAAATTGGGGTCAACATTTACTTGCTCAATCTCCAGAAACGTTGATTGTGAAGATTTTCTTTCCCAGAGAGGGAACTGGTTCCCCGCCCTCCAGTGCCAGTGGCCTTGAACTTGTCTGGCCACACAACTTTCCTTCCACTGAGCAGCTATCTACCTATCTCCTTCCACCTTGCTTGTCCTAAATGAGAATGTTGGTTTATAGTCAAAGAGAATTTATAGATCTTCTCTCTCTCCTCATCCAGAAGATTTTTCAAGTCCCCTATCCAGAAGGAGAAAATCAAGGTGATGCATGCTCAAAAGAGAGTCAAGGACATGTTAATGGGCCTTTTCCCAAACACATAATTTCAAGTTACCTGAATCTTCACTGCTGGTGTTATCAATTCTCTCTATTTTACTCTGCCTCCAGGGGCAAGCTTTTAATTTTTGGAAAACTGTGAGTATGAGTTCCCAGAAATCTTTTGATTAATAAATCAGAGGAAGTATAACTTCAAACAAACAAGCAAGCTCAGAAAAACATTCCAGTTCCAAATGATTTAGGGCAAAGAGCCCCCCACGGACGGCATGGTCTATGCCTCTTTGGTTGAAAGCAGTGAGGAGGTAGTGTGTTATTTGTGTGATCTAAGGGAACAAAATGAAATACTTTTAGTTCTATTAGTTCTCACCAGAAGCAGCCAAACACACTTGTAAATTAGTTTGTAAGCCACAGAGGGTGGATGAAAAGAAGTTTTCTAAAACTGGTCCATTACATAGAGGAAGAAAGACTGAATCTATGAAAGAGAATGGAAAAAATAGGGGGGGAAAAAAGTCCTGGGCGGTAAGAAGACAGAATTATCCTATGTATAGTCGAGGCCCCTGTGGGATTCTTGAGTCTGACACTTAATTTGCCTGGTATTGACTTTTCTTGGAAGCATCTGTATAATTTCCTTTTTTTGCTTCTGGATCTGGAAACATGAGACACTTGGGTCAGACTTAAACCTCTAATTGCACTTTTCACTTTAAATCAATTAAAAAATAAACCAGGCCAGACAAAGGGCCCCCAAACAAACAAGTAAAAATTGATCATCCATTTAAAAGACTGAATCAGCTCAGGGGTGGCAGCCAAACTTACAACAGGTTTATTTCCTTCTTTTATGGTGATCCAGTCTTCCCCATTGGAGCTAATGTCTATTCTGTAAGACTTGACATAATACTTCTTCTTGGTTTCTTTTGAAATGGCTCCCTGTGTCCCAACAGCTGTGACAAAGCGCAGAAGGCCCAAGTCTACCTGCAAGACAATTACAAATGGGTTGACATAGTGTAGTCAGTTGAGCATCCTTGTACTCCTCTTAAATTAGAGCATCTTTGCCTATGGGATCCACATTGTAGTTTTCACACACCTGGGATCAACAGGCCTCAATTCCATCCAATGTCAATAGCCTCTAAGTTCCCTTTTACTTTTTCTAAGGAAAAGTACCAATTGGTTGACAGCAATTACCCCAGGCTGGTTTCTACTGTTAGAAGGAAGGCCAAGAAGAGATCTTTCTCATTGCTATAGCAAGATTTCCTGATCCCTAATGCAAAGAAGAAAACTGGGTTCAATGTCATGTTGCTATACTTTCTAAGAATTAAGAAGACTTTCCAAACAGCAAACACTGATATACCTCATTTTACAAATAGAAAATCAAGACAAACAAAATAAATTCACATGCTAGACATTAGAGAAAGCTGGACTAGAACTCAAGTCTAACATTATTCTATTTTCCATCATTATTCAGCATCCTATTGTTGTTGTCAGGTGCCATGGAGTCAGTTCCAAATCATAGTGACTTTTCGTGTAACAGAACGAAACACTGCCTGGCCCTGCATCATCCTAAAGAGCCCTGGTGGCACAGTGAGTAAGGCATTTGGCTGCTAATCAGAAAGTCAGCAGTTCCAACCCACCAAGTGCATTGCAGCAGGAAGACGCAATCTACTTCTGTGAAAATTTACAGCCTCGGAAACCCTATGGGGATCGCTATGAGTCAGAATGGACTTGATGGCAGTGGGTTTGTTTTTTGTTTGTTTGTTTGTTTGCATCATCCTTACTATCATTGTTATGCCTGAGCCCACTGTTGCATCCATGGTGTCAATCTGTCTCATTTTGAGCCTGTCTCTTTTTCACTGGGCCTCTGCTTTACCAAGCATGATGTCTTCTACAAGTTATTGGTCCCTCTAGCATCCTGCCTCCTTCTAAATAAAATATTAATTTACTTTTAAAGCACTGTGAGTATTGTGGTTTATCAAATGGGCTATAGATTTATAACCAGGAAAGAAGTGGAGAGGAGAAGAGCGAAAAAAGTAAAAAAATTTTTTTTCATCTTTAAATTTCTTTCTTCTCTGTATCTTCTTGTGGCTTCTCTCCTTGCAGTTCAGCATGAGAGGCAGGTGGATTCTAGGTAGATGTTTCTAAGGCAACAAACTCCTGGGTTTTTCAAGCTTCTTTTGGTGAGTTGCCATTGGAGCAGTTTCTCACCCTGACAGCCGTGACTTTCTCTCTCTCAAAACTAGTTGCTGTCTAACATACTATACAAAACATTGTTCCACCTACTACTTTGGCGAGTAGCGACTGGGACCTTAAAAGCTAGGAAGCTGCCAT